TCAAACGGTCGTCATCAGGTGTGTTGGTTTGCATAATTTTTTTTTTAAACGGCGCATTTATTTATTTATAAAAAACGTTAGCGCCACGCGCAACGATTTGGCAGTTTATTTAGGACTAGTCCATCTATATTCTGAAAAAGAGGAGGGGGGAGACGAATTTTTTTTGTATGCTGTCTGAAAGCCACTGTAAGCGTGAACAATCAATTAAGACCTGAAATGGTTTATCAAATCTTTCCAATGATTGCTAAGATAGAATCCATCTTCTCGGTTGAAATTGTCTCTGTGCTTGTATATGTGGATAGCCTCATGAACGAATCTCTCATGGTAGCCAAATGGCTTACAAAGAACCTCTGTCTTGGAAAAGTCAATGGCATGTGAGCCTACTGAATTATAACAATGATCTGTCACGGCCGAGGTGTTGGTCCTACCGTGTTTAAGGTCTGCTTTGTGTTCACGAATGCGGTCCGAGACATGGCGTTTGGTTTCTCCAATGTAACTACTACCACAGAGGCAACTTAGTTTGTAGACACCAGGGTATTGTATGTCCGGAATCACATCTTTTACAGACGGAACCAGATCACGGATTTTATGTAATGTGTTGAAACGGACCTGGATCTTGTGTTTATTCAAGATTTTGGAGATCTTTTTTGTGATCCCCGCAATGTAGGGTAAAGTGATGGTTTTGAAAGGCTCCTCAAGAGGGTCCTTCTTCATGGTTTGAGTGATAGCTTTGCGGATTGTATAGTCGGAGTAACCATTAGCCTTAAGAGCTTGGTGTACGTGCTTGAGTTCACTGCCTATGTGTTCCTGGTCGGATATGCATTGGGCTCTATGATACAGAGTCTTGATGAGAGAATTCTTCTGTGATGCATGGTGGTGGGAATCCGGTTTCAGATAAGCATCCGTATGGGTAGCTTTCCTGTAGACAGAGTGGCTCATTGAACCATCAGGTCTCTTTTTAATTAGGACATCCAAAAAAGGTATCTTGCCATCTATTTCGACTTCCATGGTAAATCTGATGGCTGGGTGTATGGAATTGATGTGGTCTAAGAAACACACCTGAAGACGACCGTTTGTGTTATGGTCGAAACGTCGTGAGAATTTTTTTATTGTTTTATATATATTTTATTATTTTGTTGTTTCCCTTCAACGTGACTTTACCGAAAGAACTAAGAATATGAATTACTGCAGTCACGAAAGCTATAAATCAAAATTTAAATCAACTTTGTTAATAAATGTTTTCTCCTACAACATCAGAGTGCAGTGCCACGTTAAACACGCACTACAATGTGACAATAGTTTAAAGCCATTTGAAGCATGGTTTAATTTTGGAGGGGGGGGGGGGGCAGAGCTTTGTGACGTCATAATTGAGGGGGGGGTCTGACTTTTTATGACGTCACGTGACGAAGGGGGGGGGGGTCAAAAATCGTCAAAAAATCGCGTGACGTCATTTATGGACGCTCCCCCCCCCCCCCCCTACTGAACATAAACAGCAGCAGGCGTCAGGTTGGGGGGATCTAACCCACGACCTCCTGGGGCCCTGGCGAGGCAGTCAACATCTCACCACAGATACACACGTGACATGCCACAGAGAGACAGAGAGAGAGACAAGGGATTATAGAATGCACGCAGTGGACATCGTCATGTCATCGTCTTCAACATTTACAGTGAAATACTTCTACAGAGCTGCTTTTTGTGTTTAGTTTTGTTAGACTTTCCCCTATAAAGGTTAGGGGGCCGTCCATAAATGACGTCACGCGATTTTGGACTGTTTTTGACCCCCACCCTTCGTCACATGACGTCACAAAGTCAGACACCCCCCCCGCTCAAATATGACGTCACAAAGCTCTGCCCCCCCCTAAAAATATAACATGCTTCAAATGGCTTTAAACTATTGTCACATTGTAGTGCGTGTTTAATGTGGCGCTGCACTCTGATGTTGTAGGAGAAAACATTTATTAACAAAGTCTATTTAATTAAGTAGACACGCGTTGTCTGTATTTATTTAAAGTTGCGCATTTTGATGTGACGTCACATTCATCAAGCCCCCCTCCCCCGCTCGTCACGCATCGTCACAAATGTCTGTCACAGGTGCGTGACGTCATTTATGGACGGCCCCAAAAGATAAAGCTCCCCCGTGTAGCCTGAACAGACTGTTGGGGCAAGTGCTGCTAGCGAGCAGCAGCGCTGCCTGTGAAGGTAACCGGCTGGGTGGGCGCCACCACGCCCGGCCGCCTTTGTCTCCCCGGTGGCGATGCCTACTGCACACCGCACCAGGGACTCCTTTGAGGCTGAGTCGACCTAGAGGAGGCCCAAACCCGCTTTAATCGAACTCGGGTGGCCGGGGTTCGAAGCTAAGCGTGGCGCTAACCGCCGCGCCACCGCTCCTCGCCGCATTGCATTGACCCCGGCGGTGAGGTATGGCGGGAACATTGTTCATCGTCACGTGACGCCAACGCTCGCCGCTGATTGGCTGCGTTTCAAATCTCGCGACCGTTGAAGGGGAGGAACAAAGAGGGCACCCGCGCATCTTCCGGAAGCCATCTACCGCTTCCGGAAGAGTAGTTTATGAACGAACTATACATCTTCTGGAAGACACTCCGCCGGTGGCGGAAGACATCTTCCATTGTGAGAAGAAAAATCTTACTGAACGCGCACGTGGCACTTCCGGAAGAAGAAGTTCATTTCTACCGAAGCCGGTAGAGGGGTTTCTGAACGCTACCAAATCTTCCGGAAAGGACAATATTTAAAGATTTTGTTAGAATAAAACTTCATATTCTGTTCATTATTATATTCTGTTCATTTTGATTTAAAGCTTTCGTGACTGCAGGGATTCATGTTCTTGGTTCTTTCGGTAAAGTTACCACCACGTAGAAGGGAAACAATAAAATAATGAAAATAAAACAATACAAAATTCTCACAACGTTTCGATTGCAACACAAGCAATCATCATCAGGTGTGAAAACCACAGCAAGACATTTTTTTTATTATTTTTTATTATTTCCCTTCTACGTGGTGACTTTACCGAAAGAACCAAGAATATAGACGATCCTACGTTAGAACAAACCGATTCATATCGATTTGAAGTTATTCGTGACTGCAGGAATCCACTCTCTTTGATTCTGTCGGCAAAGTCACGTGGGTATAAAAATAATAGATCTCGACGTTTCGATCGCAGCACAAGCCAATCGTCATCAGGTGAAAGCTGCTGAGACAGGGCAATATATATGGCGGGAGCGCTGCTAAGGGACAGGGAGTTATTAAAGGTTTTGAGATGGGTGCAGCCCAATGGTCAGTGGGCGAGGCGAGAGATGAAATTTGCTGGTGAATGTGACGTTAGAGAGAGAGATCGGAACGAGCCATCGCCACGTGGAAGGTGGAAACGGATGGCAAGCCGCCATTCACTAACACAGCTAACGGTGTGGCTGTGTTAGTGAATAACTGCTGACATAGGTAGGCAGGCAGGGAACATCACAGCCAGTTATGACCTTCAACTGGTTAATAACGTCCTTCCAATGAGTGCTCAGTTTGTGCCCACCTCGTTTGAAATTGCGTCTGCGTTGAGACATCTGGATGGCTTCATGGACGAATCTTTGCCGATAGCCAGTGGGTTTGCAGAGTACCCCTCGTCTTGGCAAATTAATTTCGCGTGAGCCCACAGCGTTGAAATCATGATCAGCCACGGCCGAGATATCGGTCCTACCCTGTTACAGATGTGCCCTGTGTTCGCGAACGCGGTCCGAGAAACGCCGCTTAGGGTCCCCGATGTAACAGCTGCCGCAGACGCAGCTTAGTTCGTAGACGCCGGGATTTTGCATGCCAGGGATCACATCCTTCGCAGATGGGATCAAATCACGAATTTTACGTAGTGTGTTGAGTCGAACCTGGATCTTGTGTTTGCTCATGATTTTAGAAATGTTCTTGGTGACCCCTGCTATGTACGGAAATGTGATGGTTTTGAATGGATCCTCAGATGGTTATTTCACAACGGCCTTACGGCTTGTGTGGGCTGAATATCCATTCTTCTTGAGGGCTTTGTGTATTAACCTGCGCGTGGTCTTCCGGAAGAAGAAGCGAGTGTCTTCCGGGGCCGGTGGAAGAGTTAATGAACAACTCCAAATCTTCCAGAAGAGGCAGAGCTGCGCCACTGCTTTTGGAAATACTTCTACCGGTAGCGGAAGGTAGGTTTCTGAACTTCATTACGTCTTCCGGAAGATCAAAAAAACTTTTCTCGACCGGTGGACAAAGGCATCTTCCGTTTCTGGAAGAGCACTTTCTGAACGCGCGCGTAGTCTTCCGGAAGAGGGTGTCTACCGGTGCCGTTAGAAAGTCTCTCCTATGGCTTCCGGAAGACCTATACCGGTGGCGGAAGAGGGGGTTTCTGAACGCCACCCTCTCTACTGGAAGATAATCCCACCCTCTACCGTAGGAGGAAGATCTCTGCCGAGGTCAGTACAAGGGTTTCTGAACGCCGCCCTCTCTACTGGAAGATAATCTTACCTTCTACCGGAGGAGGAAGGTATCTACCGCGACTAGTACAAGGGTTTCTGAACGCCGCCCTCTCTACTGGAAGATAATCCCACCTTCTACCGGAGGAGGAAGATGTCTACCGAGACTAGTAGAGAGGTTTCTGAACGCCGCTTCCTCTTCCGGAAGGCCTCGCGCGCGTTCTTTCTCCGTGCTCCGCCATTGCGGCCTCTCTCGTTCGCTCTCCTCACTCGTTCGCTCTCCTCTCGTTCCCTCTCTCTCGTTCACTCTCCACTCGTTCACACTCTATCTCATTCCCTCTATCTCATTCACTCTATCTCATTCCCTCTCTATCTCATTCCCACTCTCTATCTCATTCCCTCTCTCTCGTTCACTCTCCTCAATCGTTCACTCTCTCTATCTCATTCACCCCCTCTATCTCATTCCCTCTATCTCATTCCTTCTCTCTATCTCATTCCCTCTCTCTATCTCATTCCTTCTCTCTATCTCATTCCCTCTCTCTATCTTATTCCCTCTATCTCATTCACCCTCTCTATCTCATTCCCTCTCTATCTCATTCCCTCTATCTCATTCCCTCTCTCTCATTCACCCTCTCTATCTCATCCCCCCCCCCTCTCGAATTCTCGCTCGAGCCGCGAGTGTGCCGGCCTGGCCATGTTCGCCAACAGGAATCGCAAGCGCCGAGGAGGCAGTGGAGGAGGAGGCAGTGGAGGAGGCAGTGGAGGAGGAGGAGGCAGTGGAGGCGGCTTCTATGAGGCGTCCGGATCCTCGCGAAACTACGACACGGACGGCAACGACCTCAGCAGCGGCGGCGGAAACTTCTCCTCGTCGTCTTACTCCAATTTCCAGGGCTCTGGTGGTGGTGAGTCTGGTGGTGGTGAGGGTGGTGGTGAGTCTGGCGGTGGTGGTGGTGAGTCTGTCGTCTTACTCCACTTTCCAGGGCTCTGGTGGTGGTGAGTCTGGTGGTGGTGAGGGTGGTGGTGAGTCTGGTGGTGGTGAGTCTGGCGTCTTACTCCACTTTCCAGGGCTCTGGTGGTGGTGATGATGGGGGTGAGGCTGGTGGTGGTGGTGGTGAGGGTGGTGGTGAGTCTGGTGGTGGTGGTGGTGGTGAGTCTGGTGGTGGTGAGTCTGGTGGTGGTGGTGAGTCTGGTGGTGGTGGTGAGTCTGGTGGTGGTGGTGAGTCTGGTGGTGGTGATGGGGGTGAGGCTGGTGGTGGTGGTGGTGAGTCTGGTGGTGGTGAGGGTGGTGGTGAGTCTGGTGGGGGTGAGGGTGGTGGTGAGTCTGGTGGTGGTGGTGAGTCTGGTGGTGGTGAGGGTGGTGGTGAGTCTGGTGGGGGTGGTGAGTCTGGTGGTGGTGAGTCTGGTGGTGGTGAGTCTGGTGGGGGTGGTGAGTCTGGTGGGGGTGGTGAGGCTGGTGGTGGTGAGTCTGGTGGGGGTGGTGAGTCTGGCGGTGGTGGTGAGTCTGGTGGTGGTGGTGAGGGTGGTGGTGGTGAGTCTGGTGGTGGTGGTGAGTCTGGTGGTGGTGGTGGTGAGGGTGAGTCTGGTGGGGGTGGTGAGTCTGGTGGTGGTGGTGAGTCTGGTGGTGGTGGTGGTGGTGAGTCTGGTGGTGGTGGTGAGTCTGGTGGTGGTGGTGAGTCGGTTGGTGGTGGTGAGTCTGGAGGGGGTGGTGGTAGTGGTGGTGAGTCTGGTGGGGGTGGTGGTAGTGGAGGTGAGTCTGGAGGGGGTGGTGGTGAGTAGGTGGTGGAGGTGGTGAGGCTCGTGAAGGACGCTGCTGCTGCTGTCACTGGGCAGTTGGAGGCAGTCGCCCTCCAGCAACACCGGAGGGCAGAGGAGCGATGCCCACAACAACGAGCGGAGCGCCGGGTGGATAAAATGTAGCGAGTTGGCACAGCAGGGGGCACAGCTGGTTCATCGGCCAGTCGTCTCAGTCAGCCAACCAATGGCACCTGCAGGGTCTGCCCCGAGACCTCCTCCTGCCAGCGAGCCTTCGATGCTTCACGTGGCCTCAAAATGCACCTGGCCTGGCACAGGCGCTGTGGTGACGTCACCACCACTTAGTGGTGATTGACGGGTATTGATAGTGGGGACTGGTGATGGTTTTGGCGGAGGTGGTGGTGATGGAGTTGGTGGAGGAGGTGGATGAGTTGGTGGAATTGGCTGTGGAGTTGATTGGTGGTATTGGTGGTAGAGTTGGAGATGGTAGAGGTGGTGGTGGTGGTAGAGGTCGAGGTGGGGTGGAGGAGAGGGTGGTGGTGGTGGTGGTGCTGGTGGAAGAGGTGGGGTGGAGGAGAGGGTGGTGGTGGTGGTGGAAGAGGTCGAGGTGGGGTGGAGGAGAGGGTGGTGGTGGTGGTGGTTGAGTGCACCTGGCCTGGCACAGGCGCTGTGGTGACGTCACCGTCACTGAGTGGTGATTGACGGGTATTGGTGTAATTGGTGGCGTTGGTGGAGATGATGTTCGAGTTTTATGTATGTTGACCTTCTTTCGCACCGTACGTAGCTCACCGTGCTAATCGGAGGTGTGGGGGAAGGACAACAAGCTCAACACAAAACGTGGTTCTAAAGAAATAAGTTTGTCATTCTCGATTAATTAAAAGTGCATAGAGCCGGTGGCTTCCTAGTATCGGGAGGAAGAGCGTTCCAGACGGTCGCGCGATGCCGTGACCGTCTTTGTTCGATGGCTCAGCAAAACCCGCTGTGAGGATGACCGGAGTTTGCGTGATGATGGTTTACGACGAGATCAGCGAGCTAGTGTGGTTCATTTGTAGCAAAGCTGCACTTGGTGTGCAATGAGTGCCACCTTTGTCAGTGGAGGTCATGGTGGTGGTGGTGCTGGTGGTGGAGTTGGTGGAGGAAGTGGCGGAGGCTGAGGAGGTGGTGGTGGGTTCTGCCCCGTGACCTGGACACTTCACATGGCCTTAAAGTGCACATAGCCTGGCACCAGCGCCATGGTGATGTCACCGCCGCTGAGTGGCGAATGCCGGGCTGTGGGAGTTGGTGGAGTTGGAGTTGATAAGGCTGTAGCAGGGTGAGGGGGGTGATCTTTGTCTTGGTGTCTTTGTCTCCGTGTCGCCGGAGGCGGCGGAGGAGGAGGAAGCTCCTCGTCTCAGCGCGGCCCTGGGCCGTCGGGGCCGCCGGGTCTGCGTGCGACAGAGCGAGAGTTCTCCCAGCGCTGCCGACTCTTCGTGGGCAACTTGCCCAGCGACACCGGGGAGGCCGACTTCCTGGCCCTCTTCCGGCGCTACGGAGATGCGGCCGAGGCCTTCGTCAGCAAGGGCAAGGGCTTCGGATTCATCCGCCTGGTACTGCTACTGACTGGCAGTCTACAATGCTACTACAGTCTACACCACACAGTACTACAGTCTACACCACACAGTACTACAGTCTACACCACACAGTACTACAGCCTACACCACACAGTACTACAGCCTACACCACACAGTACTACAGCCTACACCACACAGTACTACAGTCTACACCACACAGTACTACAGCCTACACCACAGTACTACAGTCTACAATACTACTACAGTCTACACCACAGTACTACAGTCTACACCACACAGTACTACAGTCTACACCACACAGTGCTACAGCCTACACCACACAGTACTACAGTCTACACCACACAGTACTACAGCCTACACCACACAGTACTACAGCCTACACCACACAGTGCTACAGTCTACACCACACAGTACTACAGCCTACACCACACAGTACTACAGTCTACAATACTACTACAGTCTACACCACACAGTACTACAGCCTACACCACACAGTACTACAGTCCACACCACACAGTACTACAGTCTACACCACACAGTACTACAGCCTACACCACACAGTACTACAGCCTACACCACACAGTACTACAGCCTACACCACACAGTACTACAGTCTACACCACACAGTACTACAGCCTACACCACACAGTACTACAGTCTACACCACACAGTACTACAGCCTACACCACACAGTACTACAGTCTACACCACACAGTACTACAGCCTACACCACACAGTACTACAGCCCACACCACACTACTACAGTCTACACCACACAGTACTACAGCCTACACCACACAGTACTACAGCCTACACCACACAGTACTACAGCCTACACCACACAGTACTACAGCCTACACCACACACTACTACAGTCTACACCACACAGTACTACAGTCTACACACACAGTACTACAGTCTACACCACACAGTACTACAGCCTACACCACACAGTACTACAGCCTACACCACACAGTACTACAGCCTACACCACACAGTACTACAGCCTACACCACACAGTACTACAGCCTACACCACACAGTACTACAGTCTACACCACACAGTACTACAGCCTACACCACACAGTACTACAGCCTACACCACACAGTACTACAGCCTACACCACAGTACTACGGCCTACACCACACAGTACTACAGCCTACACCACACAGTACTACAGTCTACACCACACAGTACTACAGTCTACACCACAGTACTACGGCCTACACCACACAGTACTACAGCCTACACCACACAGTACTACAGCCTACACCACACAGTACTACAGTCCACACCACACAGTGCTACAGTCTACACCACACAGTACTACAGTCTACACCACACAGTACTACAGCCTACACCACACAGTACTACAGCCTACACCACACAGTACTACAGCCTACACCACACAGTACTACAGCCTACACCACACAGTACTACAGTCTACACCACACAGTACTACAGCCTACACCACACAGTACTACAGCCTACACCACACAGTACTACAGCCTACACCACAGTACTACGGCCTACACCACACAGTACTACAGCCTACACCACACAGTACTACAGTCTACACCACACAGTACTACAGTCTACACCACAGTACTACGGCCTACACCACACAGTACTACAGCCTACACCACACAGTACTACAGTCTACACCACACAGTACTACAGTCTACACCACACAGTACTACAGTCTACACCACACAGTACTACAGCCTACACCACACAGTACTACAGTCTACACCACACAGTACTACAGTCTACACCACACAGTACTACAGTCTACACCACAGTACTACGGCCTACACCACACAGTACTACAGCCTACACCACACAGTACTACAGCCTACACCACACAGTACTACAGTCTACACCACACAGTACTACAGCCTACACCACAGTACTACGGCCTACACCACACAGTACTACAGCCTACACCACACAGTACTATAGTCTACACCACACAGTACTACAGTCTACACCACACAGTACTACTGCCCACACCACACAGTACTACAGTCCACACCACACAGTACTACAGCCTACACCACACAGTACTACAGTCCACACCACACAGTACTACAGCCCACACCACACAGTACTACAGTCTACACCACACATTACTACAGCTTACACCACACAGTACTACAGTCTACACCACACAGTACTACAGCCTACACCACACAGTACTACTGCCTACACCACACAGTACTACAGTCTACACCACACATTACTACAGCTTACACCACACAGTACTACAGCCTACACCACACAGTACTACAGCCTACACCACACAGTACTACAGCCTACACCACACAGTACTACAGCCTACACCACACAGTACTACAGCCTACACCACACAGTACTACAGTCTACACTACACATTACTACAGCTTACACCACACAGTACTACAGCCTACACCACACAGTACTACAGTCCACACCACACAGTACTACAGTCTACACCACACAGTACTACAGCCTACACCACACAGTACTACAGTCTACACCACACAGTACTACAGTCCACACCACACAGTACTACAGCCTACACCACACAGTACTACAGCCTACACCACACAGTACTACAGTCCACACCACACAGTACTACAGCCTACACCACACAGTACTACAGCCTACACCACACAGTACTACAGCCTACACCACACAGTACTACAGTCTACACCACACAGTACTACAGTCTACACCACACAGTACTACAGCCTACACCACACAGTACTACAGTCTACACTACACAGTACTACAGCTTACACCACACAGTACTACAGCCTACACCACACAGTACTACAGTCTACACCACACAGTACTACAGTCCACACCACACAGTACTACAGTCTACAATACTACTACAGTCTACACCACACAGTACTACAGCCTACACCACACAGTACTACAGTCTACACCACACAGTACTACAGCCTACACCACACAGTACTACAGTCTACACCACACAGTACTACAGTCTACACCACACAGTACTACAGCCTACACCACACAGTACTACAGCCTACACCACACAGTACTACAGTCTACACCACACAGTACTACAGCCTATAGTTCACACTACACAAGGGATTTGGATTAATCCACCTGGCAGTACTACTTACTGGCAGTCTACACTACACGGTACACACTACTACAGTGTACAGTACTACAGTCTACAGTCGACATGAGCACTACAGTATACAGTGCGATACACAATACAGTCTACGTACACACGACACAAGGCCGTCGGGTTAATCTAGCCTAGTACTGGCAGCCTACAGTACAGTCTGCACTACATGGACAAAGATCCCCTGTGTAGCCTGTAACAGACTGTTGGGGCAAGTGCTGTTCGCAAGTAGCAGCGATCGAGGCCGGTACTGGCACACGAGGAGGTGGATGGCCAGCACCATGCTGAGCGCCTTTGTCTCCTCGGTGGTGAGTGTCACTACACACCGCACCAGGTACTTATTCGAGGCTGAGTGGACCTAGGGGAGGCCCAGGACCGGTTCAGATAATTGTCACCGGTGTTGGTGCCTTTAAGTGGGAATCGAACTCGGGTTTCTGGGTTTATAGCGCAACGTGCTAACCGCTGCACCACCGCTCCCCATAATCCAAGTACGACACGGTACAGCCTCCACTACGGAATGCCACCTTGGGTGTCCACAATCCAGCGGACACTACATAGAAGAAGACAAGGTGATGATGCAGGTGGTGATGAGAAGGAAATTGTCACTTTGACCCTTTCTGGCAATGAAACAGGAGTGTTGTGTTAAGATGTTCAAACACCAAATAGATTATCTTTGGCAAGGAATTAAGTCTGAATTAGCCACACACACACACACACTACTTGTGGTGAACATGCAATCAAACACGCTCTGGTTATAGTACAAGCATTACCCCCCAGCCTGCTTTATGGCCCTGTCTCACTACCGGTGTGACGGCAGAGAACGGCAAAAGGTGAACAGTGCAAAGACAATGCACGTACAGTAAAACCTCGGATTGCGAGTAACTTGGCCTGCGAGTGTTTTGCACGACGAGCAAAAATGTTAAGTAAATATTAATTTGATAAACGAGCGAGGGTCTTGCAATACGAGCAGTGTACGTGTAGACACGCTTTGTCTGCCGAGCATCACGTGATCACAACCGATGTACGAGTGCTTTGATGTACGAGTGCTTTGGATTACAAACACGTTTCCGGAACGAATTATGCTCCTTGCAATCCCAAGGTTTTACTGAATCAGCATTCATAGCTCAGGATGAGCAGCTATTACCATAGCATGTTTGCATGTTCACAAGTACTGTGAAAAAGGTCATCGATTTGTTGTTTGAACATCTTGACGTCTGTTTTAGATTGCCAGAAAGGGTGAAACCTTTTCTTATTTTTCATACCCTTTGGTTATTTCGGTAAAGTCACGTAGGTATGAAATAAAATCAATCACGACGTTTCAGGCGCAACACAAGCGTCCGTCATCAGTTGGGGGGGAAGCGTGGTCTGCTGCTGAGGCAGACTGTTTTAAAAGGGTTGAAATGGGTGTAGCCAGCCCAAGGGTCATTAAGAAGTGGCCGGGGCTCGTGAGGTTAATGTGAGAAATGAGCATGTAACTTTTAATCTAGAATTACATCTAGAAATGTGACTGTAAGATAGGAAAGCGGCCTCCGAGACGAGGGCACGGAAGTGGCTGTGTTAATGTGAGAGATGAGCATGATGTTAATGTAAAATCGAAGAGTGGTGCAATCCAAAGGCATGAGTGCAATCCCAACGGGTGCAATCCCAAGGGCATGTGAGTTTGAGAGTGCAATCCAAAGGACATGTGAGCATGAGAGTGCAATGCAAAGGACAGGTGAGCATGAGAGTGCAATCCAAAGGACATGAGAGATCGAAGAGGGAGGCATAGAGAGAGAGAGACACAGTCGGAAATAACAGCTGACATAGGCAGGTAGGATGGAAACATCACAACCAGTTAAGACTTTACCTGGTTAATAACGTCCTTCCAATGATTGCTCTGTTTGTACCCATCCTCTCGGTAGAAGTTGTGTCTGTGTTTATAGATCTGGATGGCTTCACGAACAAATCTCTGAAGGTAGCCGGTGGGTTTGCAGAGTACCTCCGTTTTGGAAAAATCTATTTCGTGTGAGCCCACAGCGTTAAAACAATGATCGGCAACGGCAGAGGTATTGGTCCTACCGTGTTTTAGATCTGCCTTGTGTTCACGAACACGGTCCGAGACATGTCGTTTCGTTTCCCCAATGTAGCTGCTGCCACAACCACAACTCAGTTTGTAGACACCCAGGTATTGCATGTCAGGAATCACATCCTTTACAGATGGGATTAAATCACGGATTTTGTGTACTGTGTTGAAACGAACCTGGATCTTGTGTTTGTTTACTATTTTGGAAATCTTTTTGGTAACACCTGCTTATGTATGGTAAAGTGATGGTTTTGGTTGGATCCTCAGAAGGTTGTCTCCCCATGGCTGGGGAGACAGCTTTGCGGATTGTACGGTCCGAGTATCCGTTCATCCTGAGGGCTTGGTGTACGTGCTCCCAACTCACTGGCTAGGTGGTGCTGGTCGGAGATGCAACGGGCCCTATGGTGTAGTGTTTGGATGAGGGAATTCTTCTGGGCTGGATGGTGGTGGGAGTCAGGCTTTAGATAGGCATCCGTGTGGGTGGCTTTCCTGTAGACCGAATGTCCCAACGAGCCATCAGGTCTCTTCTCGATCAAACCATCCAGGAATGGGAGCTTGCCACCCTTTTCCACTTCCATGGTGAATTTGATAGACGGGTGTATGGAATTAATGTGGTTGTGAAATTGGCTCAGTGCTGGCAGGCCATGTGGGCAGATGACAAACGTGTCATCTACATATCTCTTCCACAAGGAAGGACGTAGGGAGGATGTCTGGATGGCATCTGTCTCAAATTTCTCCATGAAAACATTCGCTACCACTGGCGATAAGGGAGAACCCATTGGGGTACCCTAATTTTGTTTGTAGAATGTACCATTCCAGGTGAAGTAAGTGTTGGTAAGGCAGTGCCTTACCAAAATTGGTGCATCTGGATTCAGTCCCTGTTGGACCAAGTCTTCAATGATTGCAATGGTGTCAGATAGAGGTACATTGGTGAACATAAAGACTACATCAAAACTGACAAGTAAATCATCTGGAGACAGTGAGATGTCCTTGATTAGAGAAACCAAGTGAGCTGAGCTAAGTACAGCTGAGGTGGTTTTGCCCGTGAAAGGAAGCAGGGTCTCAGACAGAAACTGGGCCAATTTGTAGGTGGGTAAGTTAACGGTGGAAACGATAGGACGGAGCGGGGTACCTTCTTTGTGGATTTTTGGAAGGCCATAAAATCTGGGTGGTCTAGCAGCTGAAGGTTTTAGGGAGCTCTGCTTGGGCTGATCGATGAGAGAAGTCGATTTAGTGATGATATTGTTGGTTTTTGTAGCTAGTCGGTTGGTGGGATCTCTGTTGATTTTGGTATAGCTGCCATCATTGAGAAGGTCCTGAATTTTGTTGTTGAAAGTGGTTTTATCCGTGATGACAGTGGCATTGCCCTTGTCGGCTGAGAGGGTGACAATGTCATCTCTGTTTATTAATTGAGAGAGTTCAAAACGCTCATCCTTGCTGATGGTCTAATGGGATTCTTAGCGTTTTTGAGGATAGCAGCGATTTCAGATCTAGCAACGTCTGCCGGGATCTGTCCCAAGCCTTTGAGGGCTACGTCGACCTGGGCAATGATATCATCCACTGGGATGTGTTTAGGGGTGACTGCGAAATTCAACCCTTTAGCTAGTACCGATTTTATGCTCTCAGAAATTGGGTTGTTACTATGATTGATGACCATCTTGTTAACATGTTACTGTGATTGATGCCAATCTTGTTAACATGTTACTGTGATTGATGACAATCTTGTTAACATGTTACTGTGATTGATGACAATCTTGTTAACATGTTACTGTGATTGATGACAATCTTGTTAACATGTTACGATGATGACAATCTTGTTAACACGTTACTATGATTGATGACAATCTTGTTAACATGTTACTGTGATTGATGCCAATCTTGTTAACATGTTACTGTGATTGATGACAATCTTGTTAACATGTTACTATGATGACAATCTTGTTAACATGTTACTCTTATTGATGACAATCTTGTTAACATGTCACTATGATTGATGACAATCTTGTTAACGTGTTACTATGATTGATGACAATCTTGTTAACATGTTACTATGATTGATGACAATCTTGTTAACATGTTGCTGTGATTGATGACAATCTTGTTAACATGTTACTATGATTGATGACAATCTTGTTAACATGTTACTATGAATGATAACAATCTTGTTAACATGTTACTGTGATTGATGACAATCTTGTTAACATGTTACTGTGATTGATGACAATCTTGTTAACATGTTACTATGATTGATGACAATCTTGTTAACATGTTACTATGATTGATGACAATCTTGTTAACATGTTAGTATGATTGATGACAATCTTGTTAACATGTTACTATGATTGATGACAATCTTGTTAACATGTTACTATGATTGATGACAATCTTGTTAACATGTTACTGTGATTGATGACAATCTTGTTAACATGTTACTGTGATTGATGACAATCTTGTTAACATGTTACTGTGATTGATGACAATCTTGTTAACTTGTTACTATGATTGATGACAATCTTGTTAACATGTTACTCTGATTGATGACAATCTTGTTAACATGTTACTGTGATTGATGACAATCTTGTTAACTTGTTACTATGATTGATGACAATCTTGTTAACATGTTACTGTGATTGATGACAATCTTGTTAACTTGTTACTATGATTGATGACAATCTTGTTAACATGTTACTGTGATTGATGACAATCTTGTTAACTTGTTACTATGATTGATGACAATCTTGTTAACATGTTACTGTGATTGATGACAATCTTGTTAACACGTTACTATGATCGATGACAATCTTGTTAATATCTAACTTTTTAATTTGTGGCTCTGGCTTCTTTGTTGACAGGAGGTTGAATTTTAGTGATCAAGGTAACTTTATATTTGGTTGACATTGAATTAGCAGAGGAGACTGTCGTGTTATCTACATGGTCCCAATCAGAGGTGGACATTTTATCTGTTAATTTTAAGTGTGAGTGTAAGGGAGTCTTGTCTAAATTACCAAGTTTCAAATCGGAGCGATCTTATTCCCTCTGAAATTAGCGGTGGGCTGGCTTTGAACAAGATCCGCTTAGCGTTAGGGGAAGTGACAGCAGCAGATGCGAGTGTCGGTGCGACCGGCATTACCTTGTTGTCGCGGTGTCTCTTCAGAAAGGTTAGAGCGACTCGATCAGGTGAACTTTCTCGCCTCGCAGTCTGCTGAAAGCTCTTAACGGACGTGTGGGATGACTCTCCCCTGTGGAGGCGGCCCAGTGTCGCTGATAACAAACTGGCACCCTTTGGACACATGGAGAGTGGATAACGAGCAGAGAGTTGCAAGTGTGTGTTGTTTGGGGAAAATGAACGGAACCGGAAAGAGAGGGAAAGACGTCTTGCCAGGAGTGGCTTGCCAACAAAATCAGAGATTAGTGTGAGAGAGATGTGGCACTGCTTGAGCATATTGGTCACAAGACAGGAAAGTGGAAAATGTGCATTGGACCCTTACGGGGCTACCTGTCCATGGATCGTGATGATGATGATGACATTACAGTCGACATGGGGCTTAGACAGTCGATACAGTTTGCAATGCAGTTTACATGGCGTAGGCAGTCTACAACACAGTCCATCAGCCAGTCTCTCCCCGTGTCTGTCTCCCTCCGTCTTTCTGTCTCCATGTCTCTCATCCCCCCCCCCCCCCCCCGTGTCTCTGTCTCTCCCCGTGTCTCTGTCTCTCCCCCCGTCTCTCCCCGTGTCTCTGTCTCTCCCCGTGTTTCATTCTCCCCATGTCTCTGTCTCTCCCCGTTGCTTTCTCTCTCTGCGTCTCTCCCCGTGTCTCTCTCTCCCCATGTCCCCGCATCTCTCCCCGTGTCTCATTCTCCCCGTGTCTCTGTCTCTCCCCGTGTCTCTGTCTCTCCCCGTGTCTCATTCTCCCCGTGTCTCTGTCTCTCCCCGTGTCCCCGTATCTCTCCCCCCGTGTCTCTCTCTCCCCATGTCCCCGCATCTCTCCCCGTGTCTCATTCTCCCCGTGTCTCATTCTCCCCGTGTCTCATTCTCCCCGTGTCTCTGTCTCTCCCCGTGTCTCTGTCTCTCCCCGTGTCTCTGTCTCTCCCCGTGTCTCATTCTCCCCGTGTCTCTGTCTCTCCCCGTGTCCCCGTGTCTCTCCCCCCGTGTCTCTCTCTCCCCATGTCCCCGCATCTCTCCCCGTGTCTCATTCTCCCCGTGTCTCATTCTCCCCGTGTCTCATTCTCCCCGTGTCTCATTCTCCCCGTGTCTCTGTCTCTCCCCGTGTCTCATTCTCCCCGTGTCTCATTCTCCCCGTGTCTCATTCTCCCCGTGTCTCTGTCTCTCCCCGTTTCCCCGTTTCTCTCCCCCCGTGTCTCTCTCTCCCCATGTCCCCGCATCTCTCCCCGTGTCTCTCTCCCCGTGTCTCATTCTCCCCGTGTCTCTGTCTCTCCGCGTGTCTCATTCTCCGCGTGTCTCATTCTCCCCGTGTCTCAGCGTACGAGGATGCTGGCCGAGATGGCCAAGGCGGAGTTGGACGGGACGATCGTGCGGAGCCGCGAGCTCCGTGTGAGGTTCGCGACGCACAGCGGTGCCCTCCGAGTACGCAACCTCTCCCCACAGGTCACCAACGAGCTGCTCGAGGTGAGGACGGCTCACCACTCGCTCACCGCTCACCACTCGCTCACCGCACATACACTCACTCACCCACTCGCTCACCACTCGCTCACCGCTCACCACTCGCTCACCGCAAAAACACTCACTCACCCACTCGCTCACCACTCGCTCACCGCTCACCACTCGCTCACCACACATACACTCACTCACCCACTCGCTCACCACTCGCTCACCGCTCACCACTCGCTCACCGCACATACACTCACTCACCCACTCGCTCACCACTCGCTCACCGCTCACCACTCGCTCACCGCACATACACTCACTCACCCACTCGCTCACCACTCGCTCACCGCACATACACTCACTCGGTCACCGCTCACCACTCGCTCACCGCTCACCACTCGCTCACCGCACATACACTCACTCGCTCACCACTCGCTCACCGCACATACACTCACTCGCACATCTGCTCACCACACACCCGCTCGCCGCTCACCCGCCCACACACTCATCCATTCACTACCCACTCACACACCCACTCACCCACTCGCTCACCACTCACCCACTCGCTCACCACTCACCCGCACACACACTCGTCCATTCACTACCCACTCACCCACACACTCACCCACTCGCTCACCACTCACCCACACACTCATCCATTCACTACCCACTCACACACCCACTCACCCACTCACTCACCACTCACCCACACACTCACTCACCCACTCGCTCACCACTCACCCGCACACACACTCGTCCATTCACTACCCACTCACCCACACACACACTCATCCATTCACCACCCACTCACCCACACACTCATCCATTCACTACCCACTCACACACCCACTCACCCACTCGCTCACCACTCACCCACCCACACACTCATCCATTCACTACCCACTCACACACCCACTCACCCACTCGCTCACCACTCACCCATTCACTCATCCATTCACTACCCACTCACCCACACACTCATCCATTCACTACCCACTCACCCACACACTCATCCATTCACTACCCACTCACCCACACACACACTCAACTCACGCCACCCCACTCGCTCACTCACCCACTCGCTCACCACTCACCCACCCACACACTCACCCACTTGCTCACCACTCACCCACCCACACACTCATCCATTCACTACCCACTCACACACACACTCACCCACTCGCTCACCACTCACCCACACACACACTCACCCACACACACACTAACCCACTCGCTCACCTAGTTATACACTACACACTCACTCACTTGCTCACCCACTCATTCACTCACACCCTCACCCACTCACTCACCTAGTTACTCACTACACACTCACTCACTTGCTCACCCACTCACTTGCTCACCCACTCACTCGCTCACCCACTCACTTGCTCACCCACTCATCCACTCACTACCCACTCACTCACTTGCTCACCCACTTGCTCACCTACTCATTCACTACCCACTCAATTACCCTTTCACTTACCCACCCACTCGCTCGCTCACCACACCCACCCATTCGCCACTCACTCGCTCGCTCGCTCACTCCCCACTCAAAAGATCCCACATGTAGCCTAAACAGACTTGGGGCAAGTGCTGTTAGCGAGTGGCGGCACCTATGAAGGCTACCGCACGGCACACGAGGGGTGAGTGGCCAGCACCACGCCCGGCCGCCTTTGTCTCCCCAGTGGAGATGTTTACTACACACCGCACAAAGTTACTCATTTGAGGCTGAGCCGACCTAGGGGAGGCCCAGGACCGGTTCATCACGAGCAGAAATCAAACTGTGTTTTGTGGGTTCGTAGCCCAGCGAACTTCACACACACACTCACACACACACTCACACACACTCACACACACTCACACACACTCACACACACTAGCTCTCAATCACAACAACAACAACCGCCATTCACCACTAAGTGGCGGTGACGTCACCACGACGCTTGTGCCAGGCTATGTGCACCCTGAGGCCACGTGAAGTGTCGAACGCCCGCTGGCAGGAGGTCACGGGGCAGACCCAGGTGCCACGGGTCGACTGACTGAGATGACTGGCTGATGCACCACCTGTGCCCCCTACTGTGCCAACCTGCTGTGCTTTAGCCACCCGGCGCTCCGCTCGCTGTTGTGAGCGTCGCTCCTCCGCCCTCCGTTGTTGTTGGAGGGCGACTGCCTCCAACTGCCCAGTAGCATCCTTCACGAGCCTCCTCCACAGAGGCCGATCTTGACACCGCTGGTACCAGTCATCGGCAAGTCCACTCAGCTCCACGTCCTCCTGTACCACATCACTCCATCTCTTCTCTAGCCCGTGCCGCGCCCGCTTAGCCCCCTCAATCCGGCCAAACAAAAGCTGTTTCGGCATGCGGTGGCTGGGCATGCGGGCTACATGACCCAGCCATCGCAGCCTTGCCTGCCGGAGGAGCTCACCGATGGGACCCTGCCCAGATCTTTCAAGGATTTGTGAGCTCCTCACACAATCCAGTCTGGTTAAACCCAGGATGGATCGTAGGCAGGCCAGCCTAAATGTTTCTAACCAGCGAAGATGTTCCATTAGGGGGGTCCACGTTTCGCAAGCGTAGAGAAGGGAGGGAATGACCGTGGCCGAGAAGACCTGAAGCTTAGTGCGGAGCGACAGACCAGGTAGCTTCCACACAGCGTTACGCAACCGATGAAAAGATACTGCCGCTCGACTGATTCGGAGTGAGACCTCTGCTGTTAAACTGGAGCCAGTCATAAGCACACTGCCCAGGTATGGGAAACTCTCCACTCTCTCCACAACTGCCCCATGACCGATTGGGAGTTGTGGGGGTGGAGTGTCCGATGGTACAAAATACCCAGGCAGGTGCTTAGTTTTGGTGGGGCTGATGGTAAGGCCCCACCTCTTAGTGGCACGCTCCAGTCTCAGCAGCAGCGTCTCCAACTCCTCCTCTGACTGAGCAGCTATTACCAAATCATCAGCATACATAACGTGGTTGAGCAATAGGGAGCCATCCCTTGACCGCACCCGGGCATCGATTAGCCTCCCATTATATCTGTACCATATGGAGATTCCCCCGGTACAGCTATTGAAGGCTTCACGAACTACGTGGTCAAAATAGATGTTAAATAATGTGGGAGCCAGAGGACATCCCTGTCGCACCCCAAGGTGTACAGGGAATGGCTCTGACTCCCGGCCACGTAGTTTTACCCGGGCCCGCTCACCATCATGAAGGTCCTTAATGATCGTGAGCAGAGGGTCAGGTACTCCAAAAGCACGAAGAACGACCCAGAGCCCAGGCCTACTGATGGTATCATAGGCCTTGACCAGGTCAATAAAGCAGAGATGTAGGTCTTGTTGGAATTCCCTACACCTCTGCTGTAGCAGACGGACAGAAAATATGGCATCTGTGCAGGACCGCCCTTTCCTGAAACCGCATTGGGGCTCCGCAAGCCTCTCCTCAGCGTGCCTGGCAAGGCGATGCTGAATAATCCTTGCCAGGACCTTACCCGGCACACTGAGGAGTGAGATGCCCCTGTAGTTGTTACAGTCTGTGCAGTCCCCCTTCTTAAAAAGGGGGACCACCAGGGCATCCTTCCAATCCTGCGGAACCCGTCCAGTGGTCCAGACTGTTGTTATGATGTCATATAGGGCAGTCTGTGCACAAACGCCACCCTCCCTCAGCATTTCGCTTGGGAGATCATCTCTGCCCGCTGCCTTTCCTGGTCTCAGACTCCGGATCGCCTTCAATACTTCCTCAGCAGATGGCACCTCAGCCAGCCACTCACAGGGGGTGACTTCATCCAATATTTGAGGCACCGCAGCCTCAGCAGGGTCATCCTCACTTTGTGCCACGATGTTTTCCTGGCTGAGGGATTTTCCCTCCCCCAGGACCTCACAGAAATGCTCAGCAAATCTGCGAACCTGTTCCTGGGGGTCGGAAATTGGATCACCGTTTTTTCCCCTAATGATAGTAATAGGTGTGGCGCTGCAGGTTACTTTTTTGATGGAGTTAAATAGAGATTTGTGATCACGGGCCACTGAGGCAGACTCCATCTCCTCAGCAACCCGCGACCACCACCCATCCTTGCAGCGCCTCACGGCTCTCCGAACCTCCGAGCGAAGGCTGCGGTAAGCCTCCTCATTCTCTGACGTGGGATTCTGTAGCCGATGACAGTGGGCCTGTCGCTTTTTCTCAACCATCCTGAACAACTCCTCTGTCATCCAGGGTGTCTGGGGAGGTCTGGACCGCGTACCCAAAGCAGCCATTGCAGCTGCATGAGTCACAGTCCTAAACCTCGCCCATTTACCCTCGACATCAGGAGGAGTCGGGGACGATGCCAATCCCAGCCGCAAGCGATGATGAAATTCTCGCTTGCAACTTTCATCAGATAACTGAGACCAGGCCACTTTAGGTTGGAATGGGGTCCTGGGTGTACACCCACCACCGGAGTGGAAGAATGGCAGGCGCATCTTACAGATGACTAGTCGATGGTCAGAGGGCAGATCAGCTCCACGGTAGGTCCTGGTGTCAAGGACATGGGCTCGCATTCGCTGGTCCGTCACTATGTAGTCCAGCAGATGTTCTTGCTTGGACCCGGCATGCATCCATGATGTTGTGTGGATGCGCCGATGCCGGAACAGCGTGTTGGTAATTACAAGCCCATGGGCTGCACAAAAATCTAGCAGCCTCCTACCGTTGTTATTGAGCTGATCTGGCCCATGCCCTCCAATCACTCCAGACCAGGTGCCAGTATCATGACCAACTCGGGCATTGAAGTCACCCAACATGATGACTCTATCCCGAGGGGCCACTTTAGCCAGCACCTGTGACAGGAGGTCATAGAAGGCATCTGACTCATCGGCTTTGCCTGCATCCCTCCACGGATGTTCATCTTCGGTGGGGGCATAAGTAACCACGACCACCATTCCTCGCCTCCGGTTGATGGGAAGGCGAGCCCAAAGTAGCCTGGGGCTTACAGCTTCCCACACCTCACCGCCACGCTCCCACGCCCCCTTCATTCTTTTGTTCAAAAGAAGACCCACACCCTGTTGTTTGGCAGTCTGCTGCCCCGAGTAGAGGACTGTCCACCCCTCATGGTGGCAGGAGCCAGAGCCGGTCCACCGGACCTCCTGAATGCCGCATAGATCCAGGCGGTACCGGTCCATCTCCCGACAGAGGAGTGGCAGCCTCTCCTCTGCAGTGAGCGTTCGAACATTCCACGTGGCCACCCGTAGTGGCTTTTCGTTGTTTCTGGAGTAGCCCCGAGGGTAGGTATTCAATCTCCTGGCTCCGCCAATTGGGGTTTGGCCAGGAGACGTCATAGACGCCTGGCCCCCCGGGGCCTCCGGCACAAGCTTAGTTGTTACATATTTCAGTTTAATTCGTGGTTTTGTGGTAATTAATTGAAGGTGGAGGGGTTACCAGCCCCTCGCACCCGTCCAGAGCCCCCGTTTAGCCCCTGTGGTGGACACATATGCCATGAGGGGAGGAGCCAATCGAAATTGGATCTCCCCCCACAGCGCTGTCCACGACAGAGTTGCCCGTCCGGCACCGCGAGGAGGTAGGGGGTTGTTTTGCCGGACACACACACTAGCTCTCAATCACACACACTCACACACACACACTAGCTCTCAATCACACACACACTAGCTCTCAATCACACACACTAGCTCTCAATCACACACACTAGCTCTCAATCACACACACTAGCTCTCAATCACACACACTAGCTCTCAATCACACACACTAGCTCTCAATCACACACACTAGCTCTCAATCACACACACTAGCTCTCAATCACACACACTAGCTCTCAATCACACACACTAGCTCTCAATCACACACACTAGCTCTCAATCACACACACTAGCTCTCAATCACACACACTAGCTCTCAATCACACACACTAGCTCTCAATCACACACACTAGCTCTCAATCACACACACTAGCTCTCAATCACACACACTAGCTCTCAATCACACACACTAGCTCTCAATCACACACACTAGCTCTCAATCACACACACTAGCTCTCAATCACACACACTAGCTCTCAATCACACACACTAGCTCTCAATCACACACACTAGCTCTCAATCACACACACTAGCTCTCAATCACACACACTAGCTCTCAATCACACACACTAGCTCTCAATCACACACACTAGCTCTCAATCACGTGTCTCACTCTCGCTGTGTCTCTGTGTCTCACTCTCGCTGTGTCTCTGTGTCTCTGTGTCTCACTCTCGCTGTGTCTCTGTGTCTCTGTGTCTCACTCTCGCTGTGTCTCTGTGTCTCTGTGTCTCACTCTCACTGTGTCTCCCCGTGTCTCTGTGTCTCACTCTCGCTGTGTCTCTGTGTCTCACTCTCGCTGTGTCTCTGTGTCTCTGTGTCTCACTCTCGCTGTGTCTCCCCGTGTCTCTGTGTCTCACTCTCGCTGTGTCTCTGTGTCTCTGTGTCTCACTCTCGCTGTGTCTCTGTGTCTCTGTGTCTCACTCTCGCTGTGTCTCTGTGTCTCACTCTCGCTGTGTCTCCCCGTGTCTCTGTGTCTCACTCTCGCTGTGTCTCTGTGTCTCACTCTCGCTGTGTCTCTGTGTCTCACTCTCGCTGTGTCTCCCCGTGTCTCTGTGTCTCACTCTCGCTGTGTCTCTGTGTCTCTGTGTCTCACTCTCGCTGTGTCTCCCCGTGTCTCTGTGTCTCACTCTCGCTGTGTCTCTCTCCCCCCCCCCCCGTGTCTCTGTGTCTCTCTCCCCGTGTCTCTGTGTCTCTCTCCCCCCCCCCCCGTGTCTCTGTGTCTCTCTCCCCGTGTCTCTGTGTCTCTCTCTCCCCGTGTCTCTGTGTCTCTCCCCCCCCGTGTCTCTGTGTCTCTCTCCCCGTGTCTCTGTCTCTCTCCCCGTGTCTCTGTGTCTCTCTCTCTCCCCCCCCCCCCCCCCCCCCCCCCCCCGTGTCTCTGTGTCTCTCCCCCCCCCCGTGTCTCTGTGTCTCTCTCCCCGTGTCTCTGTGTCTCTCTCCCCCCCCGTCCCCGTGTCTCTGTGTCCCTCTCCCCCGTGTCTCTGTGTTTCTCTCCCCGTGTATCTGTGTCTCTTTCCCCCCCCGTGTCTCTGTGTCTCTCTCTCCCCCCGTGTCCCCGTGTCTCTCTCCCCGTGTCTCTGTGTCTCTCTCTCTCCCCCCCCCCCCCCCCCCCCCCCCCGTGTCTCTGTGTCTCTCCCCCCCCCCCGTGTCTCTGTGTCCCTCTCCCCGTGTCTCTGTGTTTCTCTCCCCGTGTATCTGTGTCTCTTTCCCCCCCCCGTGTCTCTGTGTCTCTCTCTCCCCCCGTGTCCCCGTGTCTCTCTCCCCGTGTCTGTGGGTCTCGGGGAGCAGGAGGCCTTCTCTGTTTTTGGCCAGCTGGAGAGAGCCATCGTGATCGTCGACGACCGTGGGCGCTCCACGGGGAGAGGCATCGTGGAGTTTGCCTCCAAGCAGAGCGCCAAGAAAGCCCTCGACCGCTGCAGGGAGAGCAACTACCTCCTCACCTCGTAGGCCGCTGCTCACCGCTCGCCGCCACGCACCGACCAGTCACCAAGAATAATAATAATTATAATAACGAACGAATGCTCTCACACGCCCACGGAGACGTGCGCACAGAGGTCCTCCAGTGCCGCCTTAATGAGGCTGTAAGGGGGCGGGTTTATGTCCGCGAGTGGCACCGATGAAGGCCGTAACACGACGCGCGAGGGGGTGGGTGGCCAGCACCATGCCCGGCCGCCATCGACCCTCGTGTGGGAATGTTTCCCACGCATCGCGCTCGGTTATGCATTGGGGCTGCGTCGACCTGGGAGAGGCCCAGGACCGGTTCGGATGATCGTCGCTGGTGCTGGCCGTGAGCGGGAATTGAACCCGGGTGGACGGATGAATAGCGCAGCGTAGCGCTATAGCGGCCCCGTCACCGTTCCCCACACACAACAACAACGACAACAAGAACCGCCGCTAAGTGGCGGTGACGTCACCAAGGGGCCTGTGGCCGGCGGTGTGAACTTTGAGGCCGAGTAAAGCCTCGAAGGCCCGCTGGCAGGAGGTCACGGGGCAGACCCAGGTGCCACGGGTCGACTTACCAAGATGACTGGCTGATGCACCACCTGTGCCCCCTACTGCGCCAACCTGCTGTGCTTTAGCCACCCGGCGCTCCGCTCGTTGTTGTGAGCGTCGCTCCTCCGCCCTCCGTTGTTGTTGGAGGGCGACTGCCTCCAACTGCCCAGTAGCATCCTTCACGAGCCTCCTCCACAGAGGCCGATCTTGACACCGCTGGTACCAGTCATCGGCAAGTCCACTCAGCTCCACGTCCTCCTGTACCACATCACTCCATCTCTTCTCTAGCCCGTGCCGCGCCCGCTTAGCCCCCTCGATCCGGCTGAACAAAAGCTGTTTCGGCATGCGGTGGCTGGGCATGCGGGCTACATGACCCAGCCATCGCAGCCTTGCCTGCCGGATGAGCTCACCGATGGGACCTTGCCCAGATCTTTCAAGGATTTGCGAGCTCCTCACACAATCCAGCCTGGTTGAACCCAGCCTGGTTTAAACCCTGGCCGTCTGGAACGCTCTTCCGATATTAGGAAACCACCGGAGCAGCTGTGCACTTTTAACTCATCTTCTAGATTGAAAACTAATTTTTTGAGAACCGCTTTTTGCGTGTTTAGATTGTTGTCGTTCCCCCGCCCCCCACCCACACCTCGGATTGGCGGGGTTGGCTACGTACATACGGTGAGAAAGGAGTTATACGTGCATTCATGCAGGTCCAGGCAGTACCACCCGAGCCCCGATAGAGGAGCGGCAGCCTCTCTAACGCAGCCGCGTTCAAACATTCCGCGTGGCCACTCGCAGTGGGGGGGGTTTTTGCCATTTGTGGAGCAAGCCCGAGGGTGGGGATTCGGTTTTCTGTCTCCGCCATTCCAGAGCCCCCGCTAACCACTGGCGGCTACAAGCGGCACGAGGGGAACAGCCAATCAGTGCCGGCCTTCCTCCCATGGCATTGCCCACAACCACCACAGTGTTACCGCCCGGCAACTACCACCACAACCACCACCACCACAGTGTTACCACCCGGCAACTACCACAACCACAACCACCACAGTGTTACCACCCAGCAACTACCACAACCACAGCCACCACAGTGTTACCACCCAGCAACTACCACCAGCACCACAACCACCACAGTGTTACCGTCTGGCAACCACCACCACAGCCACCACAGTGTTACCACCCGGCAACTACCACAACCACCACAGTGTTACCGTCTGCCAACCACCACCACAACAACCACCACAGTGTTACCGTCTGCCAACCACTACAACCACCACAGTATTACCGCCCGGCAACTACCACCAGCACAACCACCACAGTGTTACCGTCTGCCAACCACTACCACCACAGTGTTACCATCTGGCAACCACAACCACCACAGTGTTACCGTCTGGCAACCACCACCACCACTACCACCACAGTGTTACTGTCTGCCAACCACCACCACCACAACCACCACAGTGTTACCGTCTGCCAACCACCACAACCACCACAGTGTTACCGCCTGCCAACCACCACCACCACAGCCACTACAGTGTTACCGTCTGCCAACCACCACCAGAGCCACTACAGTGTTACCGTCTGGCAACCACCACCACAGTGTTACCGTCTGCCAACTACCACCACCACAACCACTACAGTGTTACCGTCTGCCAACCACCACAACCACTACAGTGTTACCGTCTGCCAACCACCACCACCACAACCACCACAGTGTTACCGTCTGCCAACAACCACCACCACAACCACCACAGTGTTACCGTCTGCCAACCACCACCACCACAACCACCACAGTGTTACCGTCTGGCAACCACCACCACCACAGCCACCACAGTGTTACCGCCTGCCAACCACCACCACCACAGCCACCACAGTGTTACCGCCTGCCAACCACCACCACCACAGCCACCACAGTGTTACCGTCTGCCAACTACCACCACCACAGTGTTACTGTCTGCCAACCACCACCACCACAACCACCACAGTGTTACCGTCTGGCAACCACCACCACCACAACCACCACAGTGTTACCGTCTGCCAACCACCACCACCACAGTGTTACCGCCTGCCAACCACCACCACCACAGCCACCACAGTGTTACCGTCTGGCAACCACCACCACCACAACCACCACAGTGTTACCGTCTGGCAACCACCACCACCACAACCACCACAGTGTTACCGTCTGCCAACCAGCACCACCACAACCACCACAGTGTTACCGTCTGCCAACCACTACCACCACAACCACCACAGTGTTACCGTCTGGCAACTACCACAACCACCACAGTGTTACCGTCTGCCAACTACCACCACCACAGTGTTACCGTCTGCCAACTACCACCACCACCAGAGCCACTACAGTGTTACCGTCTGCCAACCACCACCACCACAACCACCACAGTGTTACCGCCTGCCAACCACCACCACCAGAGCCACTACAGTGTTACTGGTCGGTTGTTTTGTCAATCACACACCGACTCCTCAATCTCACCGCTCATTACAGCGACACACTGTGACGATGTTGCTTACGGTAATGATGCTGATGATGTTACTACTGATGATGATGATGATGCTACTGATGATGGTGATGATGATGTTGATGATGGTGATGTTGCTGATGATGGTGTTGCTGATGATGTTGCTGATGGTGTTGTTGCCAGGTCTCTGCGCCCGGTGCTTGTGGAGCCTCTGGAGCATCTGGATGAAGATGGAATCCTCGACAAACACCTCCAGAAGCACCCCCAGTATTCCAAGTGAGACACGGGGACACGGGGACACAGAGACACGGGGACACAGAGACACGGGGACACAGAGACACGGGGACACAGAGAGACACGGGGACATAGAGGCACGGGGACATAAAGACACGGGGACACGGGGGAGAGATGTGTCTCTCTCTGTGTGTGTCTCTGTGTGTGTCTCTGTGTGTCTCTGTGTGTGTCGCTGTGTGTGTGTCTGTGTCTCTCTCTGTGTGTGTCTCTGTGTGTGTGTCTCTGTGTGTGTCTCTCTCTGTGTGTCTCTCTCTCTGTGTGTCTCTGTGTCTCTCTCTGTGTGTGTCTCTGTGTGTGTCTCTCTATATGTGTGTGTGTGTCTCTGTGTCTATCTATCTCTGTGTCTCTATCTACAGAGAGAGGGAGTGTGCCCCACGCTTTGCCCAGCCCGGTACGTTTGAGTACGAGTATGCAATGCGCTGGAAGGCGCTGGAGCAGATGGAGCGTCAGCAGAAGGAGACGGTGGAGCTGAACGTTCGCGAGGCGGCCGAGCGGCTGGAGCTCGACGTGGAGGGTGCCCACGTGGAGCACCAGGCCATGCTGATGAGGCAGGGTGAGCCGAAGCCGCAGAGACTGACACTCAAACGCATTTATTACATATGTAATATATTAGCTACGTGATTACATATATAATACACGTATAAATTGTATTTATTATACATATGTATATGTTTTAGCAGGTAAGGAAGGCCCACTGAGTTTGCTGAAAGCACTCAACCACTCACTCACCCAGTCACTCACCCACTCACTCACCCACTCACTCACTCAGTCACTCACCCAGTCACTCACTCACCTACTCACCCACCCACTCACTCACCCACTCACTCACCCACTCACCCACCCACTCACTCACTCACCCAGTCACTCACCCACTCACTCACCCAGTCACTCACTCACTCACCCAGTCACTCACCCACCCGCTCACCTACTCACCCACTCACTCACCCAGTCACCCACTCACTCACTCAGTCACTCACCTCACTCACCTACTCACCCACCCACTTACCCAGTCACTCACCCAGTCACTCACCCACTCATTCACCCACCCACCCACTTACTCACCCAGTCACTCACCCACTCACCCACCCACTCACCCACCTACTCAGTCATCTAGTCACTCACCCACCCACTCACTCACCCACTCACTCACTCAGTCACTCAACTACTCACTCACCTACTCACCCACCCACTTACCCAGTAACTCATCCACTCACTCACCTACTCACCCACCCACATACTCATCCACTCACTCACCCAGTCACCCACCCACTCAACCACCCACTCACTCACCCACCCACTCACCCACCCACCCACTCACCCACCCACTCAACCACCCACTCACCCACTCACTCACCCACCCACTCACCCACCCACTCACCCACCCACCCACTCGAACCACCCACCCACTCACTCACCCACCCACTCACTCACTCACCCACCCACTCACCCACCCACTCACCAACCCACTCACCTGCTCTCACCCACCCACTCAATGCTGGCACGCTCTACCGAGTATGTTTTATTGGCTATTACAAACACCGGGCTGACAAACTACGACCAGCACTGCACAAGCACAGGGCCACAAGGGGTGGAGGTGACCGGCGTTGCGTTCCCACCACCTCTGCTCGGCCTGCCCACGGCTGGGTTACACTTTGAGGGGGGCCCAGGGCATGACAGCTGTGGGGGAGGGGGGGCGATGTGAAGGCCGTTCCCTCCCCAATACCCCCCCAACGACGATGATGACGACAACAACGTTTGTGATGATGATGATGATTGTGATGATGATGATGTTTGTGATGATGATGATGATTGTGATGATGATGATGTTTGTGATGATGATGATTGTGATGATGATGATGTTTGTGATGATGATGATGATGATTGTGATGATGATGATGTTTGTGATGATGATGATTGTGATGATGATGATTGTGATGATGATGATGATGATGTTTGTGATGATGATGATGGAAAGGTTTAAATGTAAACTCCTTTGTGAAGGCGCTTCGCGCCTCTCACCGAGCTTAGGAGACGCTGTGAATCTTAGCGGCGTTCACTGAAGCTCCGTCGTCCCGACAGTCCTGTTCCTTCACCTGAAGAAGGCCACTTGTGTTGTGGCCGAAACGTCGTGAGAGTTTTATTTGTTTTATTCTACGTGACTTTACCGAAAGAACCAAGAATATGGTTTGTGATGATGGCGACGACGACGATGTTGTTTGTGATGATGATGATTGTGATGATGATGATAAGGTTTGTGATGATGATGATGTTTGTGATGATAAGGTTTGTGATGATGATGATGACGACGACGATGTTTGTGATGATGATGATGATGACGATGATGATTGTGATGATGATGATAAGGTTTGTGATGATGATGATGTTTGTGATGATAAGGTTTGTGATGATGATGACGACGATGTTTGTGATGATGATGATGACGATGATGATTATGATGATGATGAAAAGGTTTGTGATGATGGCGACGACAACGATGATGTTTATGATGATGACGACGACGATGTTTGTGATGATGATGACGATGACGACGATGTTTGTGATGATGATGACGACGATGATGTTTGTGATGATGATGATGATGACGATGATGTTTGTGATGATGATGACGACGATGATGTTTGTGATGATGATGATGATGTTTGTGATGATGATGATGATGACGATGATGTTTGTGATGATGATGATGACGACGATGTTTGTGATGATGATGATGATGACGATGATGTTTGTGATGATGATGATGACGATGGTGTTTGTGACGATGATGATGATGTTTGTGATGATGATGACGATGACGACGATGTTTGTGATGATGACGACGATGATGTTTGTGACGATGATGATGATGACGATGATGGTTGTGATGATGATGACGACGACGATGATGTTTGTGATGATGATGATGATGACGATGATGTTTGTGATGATGATGATGACGATGATGTTTGTGACGATGATGATGATGACGATGTTTGTGATGATGATGATGTTTGTGACGATGATGATGATGTTTGTGATGATGATGATGACGATGATGTTTGTGACGATGATGATGACAATGATGTTTGTGATGATGATGGTGACGATGATGTTTGTGACGATGATGATGGTGACGATGATGTTTGTGACGATGATGATGACGATGATGTTTGTGATGATGATGATGACGATGTTTGTGATGATGATGATGACGATGATGTTTGTGATGATGATGATGATGTTTGTGATGATGATGATGATGATGTTTGTGACGATGCCGGTAGATTTGATGCGCCGTGAGGAGGAGCTGAGACGATTTGAGGAAATGCGAAACTCAGAGGCACAGAAACGCAAGATGATGGAGATGAGGTGAGACGGGCGCGGAGACACGGAGACAGACGGGGAGACGGGGACACACGAGGACACACGGAGACACGCGGGGACAGACGAGGACACACGGGGAGAGACGAGGACACACGGAGACACACGGGGACACACGGGGAGACGGGGACATACGGAGACACACGGAGACACACGGGGACACACGGGGACACGTGGGGACAGACGGAGAGAGACGGAGACACTGAGACGGGGGAAAGAGACATGGAGAGACACGGAGACACATCGAGACACAGACACGGGGAACTGGAGATACGGGGACACGGGGAGAGGGACACGGGAACACAGACAGAGAGACAGGGGGACACGGGGAGAGGGACACGGGAACACAGACAGAGAGACAGAGAGACAGGGGGACATGTGACACGCACGTGAATGTGTAAATGTCACCCTTGCAGTCCAGTGTAGTGAGTGTCACATTGATGCTACAACCCCTGATCATGTCCCTGTTACTCCCCATCTCCCTCTCTCTCTCTCTTCCCATGTCTCTCTCTCCCCCCGTGCCTGTGTGTGTGTGTGTCTCTGTCTCTCTCCCCGTGTCTCCATGTCTCTCTCCCCATGTGTCTCTCTCTCCATCTCTCTCTCCCCATGTTTCTCTCTCCCTCTCTTCCCATGTCTCTCTCTCCCCCCGTGCCTGTGTGTGTGTCTCTGTCTCTCTCCCCGTGTCTCCATGTCTCTCTCCCCGTGTCTCTCTCCATCTCTCTCTCCCCATGTGTCTCTCTCCATCTCTCTCTCCCCATGTGTCTCTCCCCATGTGTCTCTCTCCCCATGTGTCTCTCTCCCCATGTGTCTCTCTCCCCATGTCTCTCTCTCTCCATCTCTCTCTCCCCATGTCTCTCTCTCCATCTTTCTCTCCCCATGTGTCTCTCCATCTCTCTCCCCATGTGTCTCTCTCCATCTCTCTCTCCCCATGTGTCTCTCTCCATCTCTCTCCCGATGTCTCTCTCCATCTCTCTCTCCCCATGTGTCTCTCTCCATCTCTCTCTCCCCATCTCTCTCTCCCCATCTCTCTCTCCCCATGTCTCTCTCTCCCCATGTGTCTCTCTCTCCATGTGTCTCTCCCCATCTCTCTCTCCATCTCTCTCTCTCCATCTCTCTCTCTCCATGTCTCTCTCCCCATGTCTCTCTCTCCATCTCTCTCTCCCCATGTGTCTCCATCTCTCTCTCCCCATGTGTCTCCATCTCTCTCTCCCCATGTGTCTCTCTCCATCTCTCTCTCCCCATGTGTCTCTCTCCATCTCTCTCTCCCCATGTGTCTCTCTCTCCATCTCTCTCTCCCCATGTGTCTCTCTCTCCATCTCTCTCTCCCCATGTGTCTCTCTCCATCTCTCTCTCCCCATCTCTCTCTCCCCATCTCTCTCTCCCCATGTCTCTCTCTCCCCATGTGTCTCTCTCTCCATGTCTCTCTCCCCATCTCTCTCTCCATCTCTCTCTCTCCATCTCTCTCTCTCCATGTCTCTCTCCCCATGTCTCTCTCCCCATCTCTCTCTCCCCATGTGTCTCTCTCTCCATGTGTCTCTCTCCCCATGTGTCTCTCTCCATCTCTCTCCCCATGTGTCTCTCTCCATCTCTCTCTCCCCATGTGTCTCTCTCCATCTTTCTCTCCCCATGTGTCTCTCTCTCCATGTCTCTCTCCCCATCTCTCTCTCCATCTCTCTCTCCATGTCTCTCTTCCCATGTCTCTCTCTCCATCTCTCTCTCCCCATGTGTCTCTCTCCATCTCTCTCCCGATGTCTCTCTCCATCTCTCTCTCCCCATCTGTCTCCATCTCTCTCTCCCCATGTGTCTCTCTCCATCTCTCTCCCCATGTGTCTCTCTCCATCTCTCTCTCCCCATGTGTCTCTCTCTCCATGTCTCTCTTCCCATGTCTCTCTCTCCATCTCTCTCTCCCCATGTGTCTCTCTCCATCTCTCTCCTGATGTCTCTCTCCATCTCTCTCTCCCCATGTGTCTCTCTCCATCTCTCTCTCCCCATCTGTCTCCATCTCTCTCTCCCCATGTGTCTCTCTCCATCTCTCTCCCCATGTGTCTCTCTCCATCTCTCTCTCCCCATGTGTCTCTCTCTCTCCATGTCTCTCTCCCCATCTCTCTCTCCATCTCTCTCTCTCCATCTCTCTCTCTCCATCTCTCTCTCTCCATCTCTCTCTCTCCATCTCTCTCTCTCCATGTCTCTCTCCCCATCTCTCTCTCCATCTCTCTCTCCCCATCTCTCTCTCCATGTCTCCATCTCTCTCTCTCCATCTCTCTCTCTCCATCTCTCTCTCCCCATGTCTCTCTCCATCTCTCTCTCCCCATGTGTCTGTCTCTCTCCATCTCTCTCTCCCCATGTGTCTTTCTCTCCATCTCTCTCTCTCCATCTCTCTCTCCCCATGTGTCTCTCCCCATGTCTCTCTCTCCCCATGTCTCTCCATTTCTCCCCATGTGTCTCTCCCCGTGTCTTTCTCTCTTCATCTCTCTCCCCGTGTCTCTCTGCGTCTCTCTAGGTACGAGGAGGAGCGTAAACGCCGTGAGGAAGAGCTGCTGAAGAAGCAGAAGGAGCAGGAAGAGCGATTCAGAGCCAAGTTCGCAGAGCACGGGGTGAGAGACAGAGACACGGGGAGACAGACAGAGACACGGGGAGACAGACAGAGACACGGGGAGAGAGACAGAGACACGGGGAGAGAGACAGACAGAGACACGGGGAGAGAGACAGAGACACGGGGAGAGAGACAGAGACACGGGGAGACAGACAGAGACACGGGGAGAGAGACAGAGACACGGGGAGAGAGACAGAGACACGGGGAGAGAGACAGAGACACGGGGAGAGAGACAGACAGAGACACGGGGAGAGAGACAGAGACACGGGGAGAGAGAGAGACAGAGACACGGGGAGACAGACAGAGACACGGGGAGAGAGACAGAGACACGGGGAGACAGACAGAGACACGGGGAGACAGACAGAGACACGGGGAGAGAGACAGAGACACGGGGAGAGAGACAGAGACACGGGGTGAGAGAGAGACAGGGGGAGACAGAGACACGGGGTGAGAGACAGAGACACGGGGAGAGAGACAGAGACACGGGTGAGAGAGAGACAGGGGGAGACAGAGACACGGGGTGAGAGACAGACACGGGGAGAGAGACAGAGACACGGGGAGACAGACAGAGACACGGGGAGAGAAAGACAGGGGGTGAGAGACAGAGACACGGGGAGAGAGACAGAGACACGGGGAGACAGACAGAGACACGGGGAGAGAGACAGAGACACGGGGAGAGAGACAGACAGAGACACGGGGTGAGAGACAGACAGAGGCACGGGGAGAGAGACAGAGACACGGGGAGAGAGACAGAGACACGGGGAGAGAGACAGAGACACGGGGAGAGAGACAGAGACACGGGGAGAGAGACAGAGACACGGGGAGACAGACAGAGACACGGGGAGAGAGACAGAGATACGGGGAGAGAGACAGACAGAGACACGGGGTGAGAGACAGACAGAGACACGGGGAGAGAGACAGAGACACGGGGTGAGAGAAAGAGACACGGGGAGAGAGACAGAGACACGGGGAGAGAGACAGAGACACGGGGAGAGAGACAGAGACACGGGGTGAGAGACAGAGACACGGGGAGAGAGACAGAGACACGGGGAGACAGACAGAGACACGGGGAGAGAGACAGAGACACGGGGAGAGAGACAGACAGAGACACGGGGTGAGAGACAGACAGAGACACGGGGAGAGAGACAGAGACACGGGGTGAGAGAAAGAGACACGGGGAGAGAGACAGAGACACGGGGAGAGAGACAGAGACACGGGGAGAGAGACAGACAGAGACACGGGGTGAGAGACAGACAGAGACACGGGGAGAGAGACAGAGACACGGGGTGAGAGACAGAGACACGGGGAGAGAGACAGAGACACGGGGAGAGAGACAGAGACACGGGGAGAGAGACAGAGACACGGGGAGAGAGACAGAGACACGGGGAGAGAGACAGAGACACGGGGAGAGAGACAGACACGGGGAGGGAGACAGAGACACGGGGAGGGAGACAGAGACACGGGGAGAGAGACAGAGACACGGGGTGAGAGACAGAGACACGGGGAGAGAGACAGAGACACGGAGAGAGAGAGACAGAGACACGGGGTGAGAGACAGACACGGGGAGAGAGACAGACAGAGACACGGGGAGAGAGACAGACAGAGACACGGGGAGAGAGACAGAGACACGGGGAGAGAGACAGAGACACGGAGAGAGAGAGACAGAGACACGGGGAGAGAGACAGACAGGGGGAGACAGAGACACGGGGTGAGAGACAGACAGAGACACGGGGAGAGAAACGGAGACACGGGGTGAGAGACAGACAAGAGACACGGGGAGAGAGACAGACAGAGACACAGGGAGAGAGAGACAGAGAACACGGATAGAGAGAGAGAGAAACATGGGGATAGAGACACGGGGAGAGAGACAGAGACACAGGGAGAGAGAGAGAAACATGGGGAGAGAGAGAGAGACACGGGGAGAGAGACAGAGAACACAGATAGAGAGAGAGAGAGAGACACGGGGAGACAGAACACTGAGCGAGAGAGAGACACGGGTTTGTGTAATGTTGATGATGTTGATGACGATGATGTTGGTGTTGATGATGGTGTTGATGATGGTGTTGATGATGATGTTGATGATGGTGTTGATGGTGTTGATGCTGGTGTTGATGCTGGTGTTGATGATGTGATGATGGTGTTGATGTGATGTTGTTGATGGTGTTGATGATGGTGTCGATGATGATGTTGATGATGATGATGTTGATGATGATGTTGATGATGATGTTGATGATGATGTTGATGATGGTGTTGATGATGATGTTGATGATGATGTTGATGATGATGGTGTTGATGTCTCTCAGGTCCAGCAGCCAAGGGAACAAGTTCCTGGAATGAATCAAGGAAGACAGGGTGAGACACGAGGACACGGACACACGAAGACACGGGGACATGGGCACATGGACAGAGAGAATTGGGGAGAGATGGAGAGAGACACGGAGACATGGAGAGAGAGACATGGGGTCACGGACGCATGGAGAGAGACATGGGACATGGAGAGAAAGCAGGGGACACGGGGACAGCTCACTCACAAATAATGAATTGATTTCATCAACAAAGCAACTTTTACAAAGAACGTTGACTCCATTTCCGACCTCCAGGAACAGATTCTCGCTGGATTTCTGAGCATTTCTACGAGGTCTTGGGGTAGGGGAAACTCGTCAGCTGTGCCCTCGCATATTGGAAGTAGCCGCTCCTTGTGAGTGGCTGGCTGATGGTGCCACGCCATCTGTTGAGGAAGAGTGAGGAGTGATCCAGAGCCTAAGACCAGGAAAGATGACCCCTCGAGTGAGACTGCTGGGGGGGGGGGGAGGGTTGGCGTCTGTGCACAGACTGCCCTACATGACATCAATACAACAGTCTGGACCACAGGACGGGTGCCGCTGGATTGGAAGGATGCTCTCCCTGGCGGTCCCCCTCTTTAAGAAGGGGGGGACCGCACAGACTGTAACAACTGCAGGGGAATATCCCTCCTCCGTGTGCCGGGAAAGGTCCTGGCAAGGATTATTCAGCATCGCCTTGCCAGGCACGCTGAGGAGAGGCTTGCGGAGCCCCAATGCGGTTTCAGGAAAGGGCGGTCCTGCACAGATGCCATATTTTAACTCCGTATGCTACAGCAGAGGTGTAGGGAATTCCAGCAAGACCTACGTCTCTGCTTTATTGACCTGGTCAAGGCCTATGATACCATCAGTAGGCCCGGGCTCTGGGTTGTCCTTAGTGCTTTGGGAGCCCCTGACTCTGCTCACGGTCATTAAGGGCCTGCATGATGGTGGGCAGGCCCCCGGGTGAAGCTCCGTGGCCGGGAGTCGGACCCCTTCCCTGCGCACCTTGGGATACGATGTGGATGTCCTCTGTGGACGTCACGTCATTTCACATCTTTTTTGCGACCACATAGTTCGAGGAACTTTTCCATGGCTGCACCGGAGGCATTTCCAGCTCATCAGAAGCTAATCTTCACCCAACTCGGGTATCAGTTCATGAATAGCCTCGAATGAACTGGTCACCTGAGTTGGTAGGAATAGCAAGGCCGTAGCAAACGGAGTCAACATTGGGGCGGACCAAATCTTTCAGGGGGGTCCCCCCCCCAGAAAAAAAATCTAAATTTGAAAACTCATTTCCTGCCTAAAATATAAAATAATTCACTAACATTAACAACAATGTCTAATAGTGCATTGTATTACATTGCTCTGGTTTTTACTTACTTTTTTTTACCATTTCTTGTTGCATTGTATGTAATGGTTAGAGATTCGCGATTCATAATAGTACAACCATAAGCACAATCATATAAACATACATCTATTTTACAGCTATATATTGAGAGGGGGCTACATTTTGAGCTTATTTTAATATTACGGCCTTGACGAATATGTAACGACAAAACCAGCCTCCGTGACTACCGTACCCAGCCACCCTTGAAACCCAGCCACCCGAGGTATGATTGCAGTTATCCAAATCCGTCCTGGGCCCCCTCTAGGTCCACTCGGCCGTCAAACGAGTGCCCGGTGTAGCAGCAGCGGTGCGTAGTAAACATCAACGCTGGGGGAGACAAAGACGGCCGGGCGCGTCGGCCTTCGTAGGCGCCGCTCCCAGCACTCGTCACGACAGCCTGGCAAGGCTACACGGCTGGGGGGGGGGGGGCGGTGGGGGTGGGTGGGGGGGGTGGGGGTGGGTGGGGGGGGTCCTTGTTCATGACGTGATCCTCATGGTGGAACCCGTAAGCCCCCCCCCCGGCTTCTCCCGTGAGCCCCCCCCCCCGGCTCCTCCCGTGAGCCCCCCCCCCGGCTCCTCCCCCGTTGTGACGTCACTTCGCGACCGACTCGGCCGTCCGATCCTCTCCACGTGCTCTGCACGCTGCGCCAATTTGAGGCGTCCGCCGTTTAAACTTTCCGATTGAAAGCCCTTCGTGACTGGCGGCCATTCACGTTCTCGGCCCTTTCGGGTGAAGTCACCGCGTAGAAGGGAAACAGTGAAATAATAAAAAAAACAATAAATATAAAACAGTTTTTAAAAAAAACCAAAATTCTCACTGTTTTTCTGTACGTGCATATTCTAGATTTAAAGTTTTCGTGACTGCAAGGATCCATACTCTTTGGTTCTATTCGGTAAAGTCACGTAGGTGACTTTACCGAATAGAACCAAAGAGTATGTACGTGCATACTTTAGTACTTTACTGTTTCCCTTCACCGTGACTTGACCGCAAGGGCTAGGAGTGCCGACGTTTCAGTTTCTTGCTCGCGTTCGTGCGACGGCGACATCTCGGCGGTCCGCGGCAGGTGGGTCGTGGCCTGTCTCGTCGGACAAAGCCGCCGACAACAATTTTAATTATTGGGTTTGCCATTTTGACTTTGGGGTTCGTTCGGGATCATCGCCACGCCGCCCCGGGTCCCCGCCGTGAGGTTTGTGTAGCGGAAGTTTTGTAATGCCGCTGATCATCTTCCTGCTGTTCCTGCTGCTGCTGTTGTTGGTGGTGGTGGTGTTGGTGTTGTTGGTGTTGTTGGTGTTGTTGGTGGTGGTGTTGTTGGTGGTGTTGTGGTTGTTGTTGTTGCTGTTGTTGGTGTTGTTGTTGGTGGTGTTGGTGGTGTTGTGGTTGTTGTTGTTGGTGGTGTTGTTGTTGGTGGTGTTGTTGCTGCTGTTGTTGTTGGTGTTGTTGCTGTTGTTGGTGGTGGTGGTGTTGTTGTTGGTGTTGTTGTTGTTGTTGGTGTTGTTGTTGGTGGTGGTGTTGTTGGTGGTGTTGTTGTTGTTGTTGGTGTTGTTGTTGGTGGTGGTGTTGTTGGTGTTGCTGTTGTTGTTGTTGCTGTTGTTGGTGGTGGTGGTGTTGTTGTTGGTGTTGTTGTTGTTGGTGGTGTTGTTGGTGGTGTTGTTGGTGGTGTTGTTGGTGGTGTTGTTGGTGTTGTTGGTGGTGTTGTTGTTGGTGGTGGTGTTGTTGGTGTTGTTGGTGGTGTTGGTGGTGTTGTTGGTGGTGTTGTTGGTGGTGTTGTTGGTGGTGTTGTTGGTGGTGTTGTTGGTGGTGTTGTTGGTGGTGTTGTTGGTGGTGGTGGTGTTGTTGGTGTTGTTGGTGTTGTTGCTGTTGGTGGTGTTGTTGGTGTTGCTGTTGTTGGTGGTGTTGTTGGTGTTGTTGTTGGTGTTGTTGTTGGTGTTGTTGTTGATGTTGTTGCTGTTGTTGGTGGTGGTGTTGTTGTTGATGTTGTTGTTGTTGTTGCTGTTGTTGTTGATGTTGTTGTTGCTGTTGTTGATGTTGTTTGTTGTTGTTACTGTGACAGAGGGCTTTGTGGGAGGGGGAGGAGGAGGGCTGCCCGGTAACCATGGCAACCAGCCGGGCTTCAACATCAACTTTGGGCAGTTCGCCAACCCCCAGGTTCCCCAGGTGAGGCCCCTTAGCAGTTGTCTCCATGGTAACCAGTGGTTAAATTGTCTCCATGGTAACCAGTGGTTAAATTGTCTCCATGGTAACCAGTGGTAAAATTGTCTCCATGGTGACCAGTGGTTAAATTGTCTCCATGGTAACCAGTGGTTAAATTGTCTCCATGGTGACCAGTGGTTAAATTGTCTCCATGGTGACCATGTGTCTCTCTCTCCCCGTGTCTCTCTCCCCGTGTCTCTCTCCCCGCGTGTGTCTCTCTCCCCATGTCTCCCTCTCTCCCCGTGTGTCTCCCCGTGTGTCTCTCTCCCCATGTGTCTCTCTCCCCGTGTCTCTCTCTCCCCGTGTGTCTCTCTCCCCCCGTGTGTCTCTCTCCCCGTGTGTCTCTCTCTCCCCCCGTGTGTCTCTCTCTCCCCCCGTGTGTCTCTCTCTCCCCGTGTCTCTCTCTCCCTGTGTGTCTCTCTCCCTGTGTGTCTCTCTCCCCGTGTGTCTCTCTCCCCGTGTGTCTCTCTCCCCGTGTCTCTCTCCCCGTGTCTCTCCCCCCGTGTGTCTCTCTCTCCCCCCGTGTGTCTCTCTCTCTCCCCGTGTGTCTCTCTCCCCGTGTCTCCCCTTGTGTCTCCCCGTGTCTCTCTCCCCGTGTCTCTCTCCCCGTGTGTCTCTCTCCCCGTGTCTCTCTCCCCGTGTCTCTCCCCGTGTGTCTCTCTCCCCGTGTCTCTCCCCGTGTGTCTCTCTCCTCGTGTCTCTCTCTCCCCGTGTCTCTCTCTCCCCGTGTCTCTCTCTCCCCGTGTTTCTCTCTCCTCGCGTCTCTCCCCGCGTCTCTCCCCGTGTCTCTCTCACTCTGTCTCTCCTCTCCCCGTGTCTCTCTCACTCTGTCTCTCTCTCCCAACGTGTGTGTCTGTCTCTAGATGGGAGTGAACCCAGGCTTTGGACCCAGAGCCGATTCCACGGAGTTTGAAGCTAAAAGAGCTCGATTCTGATACACACAGATACACACTGATACACACTGATACTTACAGACACACTGATACACCGATACTTACAGACACACACATACACACTGATACTTACAGACACACACATACACACTGATACTTGCAGATACACACTGATACTTACAGACACACTGATACACCGATACTTACAGACACACACATACACACTGATACTTACAGATACACTGACACACACTAATACACACATACACACTGATACTTATAGATACACATACACACACACTGATACTTACTGATACACACTGATACACAGACACACTGATACACACTGATACACACTGATACACAGACACACAGACACACTGATACTCGCACATAGACTTTCACGTCAAGTCAGACACTGAGACGTAGACACACAGATTGGCAGAGCCCGAGACACCGAGACTCGATGATACACAATGCACACACTCGTTCACACACACTCACACTCTGAATCACACACCCACCCTCTCACTCTCTGAATCACACACTCAGACACTCTCTCTGAATCACACACTCAGACACTCACTCTCTGAATCACACACTCAGAAACTCACTCTCTGAATCACACACTCAGACACTCACTCTCTGAATCACACACTCAGACACTCACTCTCTGAATCACACACTCAGACACTCACTCTCTGAATCACACACTCAGACACTCACTCTCTGAATCACACACTCAGACACTCACTCTCTGAATCACACACCCACCCTCTCACTCTCTGAATCACACACTCAGACACTCACTCTCTAAATCACACACTCAGACACTCACTGTCTGAATCACACACCCACCCTCTCACTCTCTGAATCACACACTCAGACACTCACTCTCAGACACTCACACTCAGACACTCACACCCAGACACTCACACCCAGACACTCACACCCAGACACTCACACCCAGACACTCAAACCCAGACACTCACACTCAGACACTCACACTTACTCTCTCACACTCAGACACTCACCCTCTCACACTCAGACACTCACACTCAGACACTCACACTCAGACACTCACACCCAGACACTCACACCCAGACACTCAAACCCAGACCCTCACACCCACCCTCTCACACTCAGACACTCACACTCAGACACTCACACTCAGACACTCCAACCCAGACACTCACACTTACCCTCTCACACTCAGACACTCACACCCAGACACTCACACTCAGACACTCACACCCAGACACTCACACCCAGACACTCACACTCAGACACTCACACTCACCCTCTCACATTCAGACACTCACACTCACCCTCTCACACTCACCCTCTCACACTCTGAATCACACACTCTGAATCACACACACACACAATGACCTGGGCTTGACATTTGACCCATTTTTTTACGGTAGTGCAGTAGTTTATCCCCCGATCCCACCACCCCAAGCCTCGACCTGTTCACCTGAACGATCCGCTCCCCGTCCCGCCCCCACCTCGCCTTGCATCCTCACTGCCCACAGAAAGGCCAAATTGTATACAATGGGGTCGCCTCGTGACCCAATTACCCTGCCCATGACCCCAGTCACCTAATGACCCAGCTCATGACCCGACACCTAATGACCCAATTACCCAGCCCATGACCCCAGTCACCTAATGACCCAATTACCAAGCCCATGACCCCAGTCACCTAATGACCCAGCTCATGACCCGTCGCCTAATGACCCAGTTACCAGCCCATGACCCCAGTCACCCAATTACCCAGCCCATGACCCCAGTCACCCAATGACCCAATTGCCCAGTCCATGACCCCAGTCACCCAATGACCCAATTGCCCAGTCCATGACCCCAGTCGCCTAATAACCCAATTACCCAGCCCATGACACCAGTCACCTAATGACCCAATTGCCCAGTCCATGACTGCAGTCGCTTAATGACCCAATTACCCAGCCCATGACCCCAGTCACCTAATGACCCAATTACCCAGCCCATGACCCCAGTCACCCAATGACCCAATTGCCCAGTCCATGACCCCAGTCGCCTAATGACCCAATTACCCAGCCCATGACCCCAGTCACCCAATTACCCAGCCCATGACCCCAGTCACCTAATGACCCAATTACCCAGCCCATGACCCCAGTCACCCAATGACCCAATTGCCCAGTCCATGACCCCAGTCACCCAATGACCCAATTACCCAGCCCATGACCCCAGTCACCTAATGACCCAATTACCCAGCCCATGACCCCAGTCACCCAATTACCCAGCCCATGACCCCAGTCACCCAATGACCCAATTGCCCAGCCCATGACCCCAGTCACCTAATGACCCAATTACCCAGTCGTGACATAACCTCGCCTCGTGACCCACTCACCCGACCAGTAACCTAATGACTCATTAGTGAACTAATTGGATCCCTCCCGGGCGCGGCGCTGGGGAGCCCGGTTGCATGCACAACCGGATCCCTTTCGCCACAACCAGTTGCAGGCAAGTTGCGCAACTTTGGCTGCCCCCAACCGAGTGTGTGGATGTCGAGTGATAGGCCTCGCTCGTTATGTCGGTGGCGGGGTGGGTGGGTGGTGGGTGGTGGGTACCCCTTGCATCCACAACCCCCCTTGCATCCACAACCCCCCTTGTTGCACGCGACTTGACAGAGCCTGCAAGGGCAGTTGTGTTCCAGATGACATTCGCGCGTTAACAGGCGTTCCCCCATTCGCGTGTGTCAGCAGCGTCACTGCTGTAATTATTCCCCGCTCGTTCTAGTTATTGTCACGACTTGTTGAGCCAGGAAAGACTCTGGGATGCCAGGAGGGCCTCTTAAGGGTGGCACAGCGGTGATGGTTGTGAAGAAGATCCAACTCGGATGGAGTCTGGACATCTTCTTCCCCACGTTCTGCGTGGGATTCGGACCCTGCGGTTTCTTCCCTTGGCTAGAATATTTTCTGAAACTCCCAGCGCAGTGGCCAAAACATCCCAACCAAGTTACCGCAGACGACTCAATTGGGATTACGCAGCGTTAGCAGCAGTAGCAGCAACAGTAGTAGCAGTAACAGCAGCAGTAGCAGCAACAGTAGTAGTAGCAGCAGTAACAGCAGTAGCAGCAACAGTAGTAGTAACAGCAGTAGTAGCAGCAGTAACAGCAGTAGTAGCAGCTGTAACAGTAGTAGCAGCAGTAACAGTAGTAGCAGCAGTAGTAGCAGCAGTAGTAGTAACATCAGTAGTAACAGCAGTAGTAACAGCAACAGTAGTAACAGCAGCAGTAGTAGTAACATCAGTAGTAACAGCAGTAGTAGCAGCAGTAACAGCAGCAGTAACATCAGTAGCAGCAGTAGTAGTAACATCAGTAGTAGCAGCAGCATCGGCCCCGCTACTGCGACAATTCAGCAGGACCCTCCTGACAAGCTGTCTTGAGACTCTTGCGAGGCTTTCCTTGGGTAGACGATTCGTTTGGAGTGGCCGCGCGTTGTGCTTGGCCTGCCGCGTACCCCTCCCAGCCTCGTGAAGCGTTGTCGAAGTGGGGATCTGGGGGCGCGTGGTGCCACCTCCAGAGTCCAGGTTCAGTTTGGTCACTCCTGCGTGTTACGTAGACTGGGTAGAGTCACGTGTGGGTGAAAAACATCGGTCGCGACGTTTCGATCGCAACAGCAGCTTGTGTTGCGATCGAAACGTCGTGATTTAATTTCTAACCACGTGATGACTTTACCCAGCGAGTGTGGTGGATTCCTGCAGTGACGGAAGCTTCAAGTCGATGTTGAACTCCTTTGCGTACCACCGGTGGTAGACGGCCGTGCTGATCGCGGTTGCGAGGGAAGGACAACAAATTAAACCAGGGGGGAGGGGGGCTGGGGGGGGGGGCTCAGCCCCCCCTGAAATTTTGGGAAAGTCGGCAATCGGGATCACCGGATATCCGGCTGCGGGAAAATGCTGCAGTCTGTCACCTCGTGCTGCCCTGCAGGCTATCACCTTATGTGCTGCTGCCCTGTTGGTTGCCACCTTGTGTGCTACCCTGCAGGCTACCACCTCGTGTGCTGTCACCTCGTGCTGCCCTGTAGGTTGCCACCTTGTGTGCTGTCACCTCGTGCTGCCACCTGGCCACAGATGACAGCTCAGCCCAAGTGGCTTGTGGAAATGGGTTGCGGTCAAATACCTTCGGGATGTAGACTAAACGTGCGTCTCGGGGTTTGTTTTTGCGCGAGAAATGTTCGCGTGATAAGCTAAGCCGCTTCATAGAGCCATCAGCATTCGTGATAGCCTGGTTGAGCTCGGCGAGGCTTACCTGGTGAACTGACAGTTGCGTTCTAGACGAGCGGTGTTCGCCGCGTGACAAAGCGGACCGATATCTGAATTTTTTACAAGTGGAAATTCGCCGAAGTGGGGGGAACCAAATGGATTGTGATGGATGTGCAGTCACATCGCCCCCCCCCCACAGCTGTCATGCCCTGGGCCCCCCTCAAAGTGTAACCCAGCCGTGGGCAGTCCGAGCAGAGGTGGTGGGAACGCAACGCCGGTCACCTCCACCCCTTGTGGCCCTGTGCTTGTGCAGTGCTGGTCGTAGTTTGTCAGCCCGGTGTTTGTAATAGCCAATAAAAAATACTCGGTAGAGCGTGCCAGCATTGGGTGGGTGGGTGAGTGGGTGACAGTGGGTGGGTGAGTGAGTGAGTGGGTGAGTGAGTGGGTGACAGTGGGTGGGTGAGTGAGTGGGTGGGTGAGAGACAGTTGGTGAGTGGGTGAGTGGGTGGGTGACTGGGTGGGTGACTGGGTGAGTAAGTGGGTGGGTGAGAGCAGAACAGTGGGTTGGTGAGTTGGTGGGTGATTTGAGGGGGTGTGTGGGTGACAGTGGGTGGGTGAGAGACAGTGGGTGAGTGAGTGGGTGGGTGACAGTGGGTGAGAGACAGTGGTTGAGTGAGTGGGTGGGTGAGTGAGTGGGTGGGTGAGTGATTTTCTTAGTGGGCGAGTGTGTGAATGACTGGGTTGGGTGAGTGGTTGATCGGTCAGTAACGCTGGGGGTGAGTGAGAGAAAATGCGAGAGGAATGGAGAGGGGTGAAAACGCGGTGAATTATGTGTTGTGTGTATATCGATAGGGGTGTGGGAGCGTGGCGGTGAGGTGTGGGAAACCCGAGTCCTCGGCTCCTGTGGGTGAGACTCCCCATCAACAGGAGGCGCGGAATTGTGGTGGGAGTTTACGCCCCCACCGAAGATGAACGTCGGTGCGGACGAGGCCGATGAGTCTGATGCCGTCTATGACCTGTCCCAGATGCTAGATAAAGTGGCCCGTTGGGATAGTCATCTTGTTGGGTGACTTTAATGCCAGAGTGGGTCAGTGATTGGAGGGCATGGGCCATATCAGCTCGGTAGTAACGGGAGGAGGCTGTTCGACTTGTGTGCAAACCATGGACTTGTAACTACCGTACACGCTTTTCCAGCATCAGCGCATTCACACGTGGGTGCAGGCCGGGTCCCAACAAGAACATCTGCTGGACTATATAGTGACGCAACATTGAATGCGGGCCCATGTCCTCGGCACCAGCATCTACTGTGGAGCTGATCTGCCCACTGACCATCGTCTGGTCATTCGTGAGATGCGCCTGCCATTCTTCCACTCCGGTAGCGGGTGTCCATTCAGAACCCCATTCAAACTCTGTAGCCTGGCCTCGGCTAGCCGATGGACGTTTTTTTTGCAGGAATTTCGTCATCGCTTGCAGCTGGGGTTGGCATCGTCTCTCCTCCTGATGCTGATGGGAAATGAGTGAGGTTCAGAACTGCAAGCTCATGCAGCAGATGGTGGTGATGGATGAGGTTCAGGACTGCAAGCTCATGCAGCAGATGGTGGTGATGATACCCGTGGTAATGATGGCATAGTGGATGAGGTTCAGGACTGGCTCATGCAGCAAATGGTTGTGATGATACCCGTGGTAATGATGGTGTAATGGATGAGGTTCAGGACTAGTTCATGCAGCAGATGGTGGTGATGATACCCGTGGTAATGATGGCATAGTGGATGATGTTCAGGACTGCAAGCTCATGCAGCAGATGGTGGTGATGATACCCGTTGTAATGATGGCGTAATGGATGAGGTTCAGGACTGCAGGCTACATTCAGCTGCAATGGCAACAATTGGCTCCCAGACCTCGGAGGCCCTGGCTGAAGGAGGTTGGCGGCGTTCTAGCTGGTTGACAGACAACGACAGGCCCACTCCCGTCCACAGAATAGGAGAATGAGGCGGCTTAGCGCATCGTTCGCTCGGAGGTTTTCAGAGGCATGCGGCGCTGCGAGGATGAGTGCGGGTTGCTGAGGAGGGATGGGATCTGCCTCAGTAGCCTGCGATCGCAAATCCGCTCTTTAATTCAATTTAAAAAAAAGTTACTTGCACCGCCACGCCTATCAGCATCCTTAAGGGCTAGAACGGTGATCCCATCTCCCACTTCCAGGAACTGGGTCTGCAGGTTTGCAGAGCGTTTCTGTGAGGTCTTGGGGGGGAGGGGAATTCTCTCAGCCCAAGACACCATCACAATCGCTGACTGGGGTAGCCATAGATACTCCATCGAACGGTTAATTTATTTCCGATATGACGACAACATTCAGGCATGGCGCGGTTATTACGACGTCACAACACGTTGCCTGGAAACCCCACCGTGGTCGTAGATCTACACGTCGTAGATCGCCACCCCTATCGTTCCCTTCGTAGACCGTGAGATTACCAGGGCTTTAATAGGTAAACATCATCCACACAAAACCAAACCACTCTAAAGCCCCAAGCCGCGTCGGGCAAAACCAGACGAGCTCCGTGAACGTGTTTGGAGGCAACGCGGCGAATGACCATCATCAGCGTGGATCGTCCGTCGTCGTAAACCGGAGACCGCCGCCTGTCCAGGCGTTCCTCCATGGGGGCCTCTGAAGTCTCACACGGCTTGGGGGGGCCCCAGCAATGTCAAAATCCGGCCCTGGCCGGCAGGGATAGACGATGCACGGCAAGACGCGATGACAACCGTGGATATGGCCCGGCCGATGTCTCGCATGCGGCGGTGCCGTTACCGGAGCCACACGCAAGCACGTCGACTCGCGGTGCAAGTGGTCGTGTGGGTGGGTGATGTGTGGGTGGGTGGTGTGTGGATGGGTGGATGGGTGAGTGGGTGGGTGAGTGGGTGTGTGGGTGAGTGAGTGGGTGAGTGGGTGTGTGGGTGGGTGAGTTTAGCTCGTGCCCTGGTGGTCCCCCTCTTTAAGAAGGGGGACCGCACAGACTGTAACAACTACAGGGGCATCTCACTCCTCAGTGTGCCGGGAAAGGTCCTGGCAAGGATTATTCAGCATCGCCCTGCCAGGCACGCTGAGGAGAGGCTTGCGGAGCCCCAATGCGGTTTCAGGAAAGGGCGGTCCTGCACAGATGCCATATTTTCTGTCCGTCTGCTACAGCAGAGGTGTAGGGAATTCCAACAAGACCTACGTCTCTTTAACACGTAGGCTTTCGCGACCAATATTATTCATAATAACGTCTCTGCTTTATTGACCTGGTCAAGGCCTATGATACCATCAGTAGGCCTGGGCTCTGGGTTGTTCATCGTTCTTTTGGAGTACCTGACCCTCTGCTCACGATCATTAAGGACCTTCATGATGGTGAGCGGGCCTGGGTAAAACTACGTGGCCGGGAGTCAGAGCCATTCCCTGTACACCTTGGGGTGCGACAGGGATGTCCTCTGGCTCCCACATTATTTAACATCTATTTTGACCACGTAGTTCGTGAAGCCTTCAATAGCTGTACCGGGGGAATCTCCATATGGTACAGATATAATGGGAGGCGGATCGATGCCCGGGTGCGGTCAAGGGATGGCTCCCAATTGCTCAACCACGTTATGTATGCTGATGATTTGGTAATAGCTGCTCATTCAGAGGAGGAGTTGGAGCCGCTGCTGCTGAGACTGGAGCGTGCCACTAAGAGGTGGGGCCTTACCATCAGCCCCACCAAAACTAAGCACCTGCCTGGGTATTTTGTACCATCGGACACTCCACCCCCACAACTCCCAATCGGTGATGGGGCAGTTGTGGAGAGAGTGGAGAGTTTGCCATACCTGGGCAGTGTGCTTATGACTGGCTCCAGTTTAACAGCAGAGGTCTCACTCCGAATCAGTCGAGCGGCAATATATTTTCATCGGTTGCGTAACGCTGTGTGGAAGCTACCTGGTCTGTCGCTCCGCACTAAGCTTCAGGTCTTCTCGGCCACGGTCATTCCCTCCCTTCTCTACGCTTGCGAAACGTGGACCCCCCCTAATGGAACATCTTCGCAGGTTAGAAACATTTAGGCTGGCCTGCCTACGATCCATCTTGGGTTTAACCAGACTGGATTGTGTGAGGAGCTCACAACTCCTTGAAAGATCTGGGCAAGGTCCCATCGGTGAGCTCCTCCGGCGGGGAAGGCTGCGATGGCTGGGTCATGTAGCCTGCATGCCCAGCCACCGCATGCCTAAACAGCTTTTGTTCGGCCGGATTGAGGGGGCTAAGCGGGCGCGGCACGGGCTAGAGAAGAGATGGAGTGATGTGGTACAGGAGGACGTGGAGCTGAGTGGACTTGCCGATAACTGGTACCAGCGGTGTCAAGATCGGCCTCTGTGGAGGAGGCTCGTGAAGGACGCTACTGGGCAGTTGGAGGCAGTCGCCCTCCAACAACAACGGAGGGCGGAGGAGCGACGCTCACAACAACGAGCGGAGCGCCGGGTGGCTAAAGCACAGCAGGTTGGCACAGTAGGGGGCACAGGTGGTGCATCAGCCAGTCATCTCAGTCAGTCGGCCCGTGGCACCTGGGTCTGCCCAGTGACCTCCTGCCAGCGGGCGTTCGACACTTCACGTGGCCTCAGGGTGCACATAGCCTGGCACAAGCATCGTGGTGACGTCACCGCCACTTCGTGGCGAATGGCGGTTGTTGTTGTTGTTGTTGGGTGGGTGAGTGGGTGGGTGGGTGAGTGCGTGAGTGGGTGCGTGAGTGGGTGCGTGGGTGGGTGAGTGGATGGGTGAGTGGGTGAGTGGGTGTGTGGGTGAGTGTGTGGGTGAGTGAGTGGGTGTGTGCGTGAGTGGGTGAGTGGGTGGGTGAGTGCGTGCGTGCGTGAGTGGGTGAGTGCGTGGGTGAGTGAATGAGTGGGTGAGTGGGTGGGTGAGTAGGTGGGTGGGTGAGTAGGTGGGTGGGTGGGTGAGTAGGTGGGTGGGTGAGTAGGTGGGTGGGTGGGTGAGTAGGTGGGTGGGTGAGTAGGTGGGTGGGTGGGTGAGTAGGTGGGTGGGTGAGTAGGTGGGTGGGTGGGTGGGTGAGTAGGTGGGTGGGTGGGTGAGTAGGTGGGTGGGTGAGTAGGTGGGTGGGTGAGTAGGTGGGTGAGTGATTGGGTGAGTAGGTGGGTGAGTGATTGGGCGACTGGGTGTGTGAGTGGGCGGGGTCAGTGCATGAGTGGGACCCCAGCGATATTCAGCATCCGTCCGTGCCTCGTGAAGGACGGAGGCGAAGTGCCGCTGTGGGGAGGCGCCGTGGACTGGGTCACGGCGCCAACCCCACGAGGAGCTTCACCTCCCGGAGGTTGTGGGCGGCCACGCGGGACGCTCGCTCCCGACCCTCCTCCAGGACGCGTCCCAGAAACCCCCACCGAGAGAGGTCTCCTCCCACATCTCCACGCTCCTCCTCACCCATCCCCTCCTCGTCCCCCTCCTCCTCCTCCTCACACGACCCAAACTCCTTGCCGCCGTAGTCTCCGGGGGACGTCCAGGTCAAGTCACCGCCACCGCTTCCTCCACCTTGAGGAACGTCCCAACAACGAGCGTCCAAAGTGGAACGGGAGGGTTATTCCTCTTGTGTGCGTGGTCGAAACTCAAACGAAACTTTTTAATTTTTTTCACCCAGGTAAAGGCTTCCCTGGGGGTTGTGTAGCTCGTTTCCAGAAGCCGGGGGGGGGGGGGGCCTGGCCATCATAGATGATAGCTCAAGGAAGCGGCTTGTCACATGCAAACATCTAGCAGCAGCAGCAGCAAAGAATACCCAAGACACGTGGGCATGTTGAGTCTAAATGTGGAGGGGAAAACCCGGTGGACCCGGAGAAAAATCCGCGTGACCAGGCATCGTCAGGGGTGGGGATCAAACGCAGGGACCTCCTGTACACGAGGCGAGGGAGATAACATCTCCTAGCCAGCGTGATTGCGGAGTGACACGCAGGCACGGTGAACTGCCGTGGTGTAGTACAAGATCTGTGGCCACGGCAGAAGGGGCGAGTTCTTAAAGTCTTCCCCCTGCCCACCTCTAACCGACCATACTTCACCGCGTGGGTAATGCTCCACGGGTTCATAATGCGGCACTCTCGGCATGCCCGTTGACTCACTCTCCTGTCCGCTCACCCGCCCACCCACCCACGTGCCCACCCACCCACCCACGTGACCACCAGCAAATCCACTCACTCGCTCACCTGGCCACTTGCACGCCCACTCAAACTCAGCCACTCAGCCACTCGGCCAACCACTCACCCATTCACGAATTGACTCACTCACTCACTCGCTCATTCAACCACCCATCCTCTTACCCACCCACTCACCCACCCACCCACTCAGTCACCCACTCACTCGCTCACCCACCCACTCATCCACTCACCCACCCACTCGCTCACTCACCCACCCACTCACCCACCCACCCACCCACTCACTCACCCACCCGCTCACTCACTCACTCACCCACTCACTCACTCACTCACCCATCCACTCGCTCACTCACCCACCCACTCACTCACTCACCCACTCACCCACTCACTCACCCACTCACCCACTCACTCACTCACCCATCCACTCGCTCACTCACCCACCCACTCACCCACTCAACCACTCACCCACTCACCCACCCACCCACCCCCTGTTGGAATTCCCCACCCGCCCGCCCGCCCGCCCGCCCGCCCGCCCGCTCACCTCCGTCCAGCGAGGGCACGCTCTCTCCGGCCATGAGGCGGAGGAAGCGCGAGCGGAGCGGCCTCACCACGAGGCGGAGGAGGTCCTCGGCGAGCTCCTCCTTGTACCCCCGCGGCGTGGAGCCGCCGCCGCCGCCGCCGCACGGCACCAGGCCGGGGTGTCGCAGGCCCAGGGCGGCCGCGTGCAGCGCCAGGAGGTTGGAGACGCCGGGCCGCGCCGCCGGCTCGTACGAGACGCCCGGCAGGGAGTCGGTGACGGCACGGCGGAGTTTGAGGCGCACGGCCGCGTCCGAGTCGGAGATCAGCACGGAGCCCAGGGAGGAGCGGCGTCCGGGCCGTCCGGCGGGGGACGACGAGGAGGAGGAGGACGAGGAGGAGGAAGTTGGGAGCTGGGACTTGCTCATTTTGGACGAGGGGTCCTGCAGGGAACGGATCCGAGGGAAGTCGCCTGAAGAGGAGACGGAGAGAGGAGAGCGGATGGGAGAGAGGAGAGTGGATGGGAGTGGATGGGAGAGAGGGGAGTGGATGGGAGAGAGGAGAGTGGATGGGAGAGAGGAGAGTGGATGGGAGAGAGGAGAGTGGATGGGAGAGAGGAGAGTGGATGGGAGTGGATGGGAGAGAGGGGAGTGGATGGGAGAGAGGAGAGTGGATGGGAGAGAGGAGAGTGGATGGGAGAGAAGGGAGTGGATGGGAGATAGGGGAGTGTATGGGAGAGAGGAGAGTGGATGGGAGAGAGGAGAGTGGATGGGAGAGAGGAGAGTGGATGGGAGAGAGGGGAGTGGATGGTAGAGAGGGGAGTGGATGGGAGAGAGGAGAGTGGATGGGAGAGAGGGGAGTGGATGGTAGAGAGGGGAGTGGATGGTAGAGAGGGGAGTGGATGGGAGAGAGGAGAGTGGATGGGAGAGAGGAGAGTGGATGGGAGAGAGGAGAGTGGATGGGAGAGAGGGGAGTGGATGGGAGAGAGGAGAGTGGATGGGAGAGAGGGGAGAGAGGGGAGTGGATGGGAGAGAGGAGAGTGGATGGGAGAGAGGGGAGTGGATGGGAGAGAGGGGAGTGGATGGGAGAGAGGAGAGTGGATGGGAGAGAGGGGAGTGGATGGGAGTGAGGGGAGTGGATGGGAGAGAGGGGAGTGAGGGGAGTGGATGGGAGAGAGGGGAGTGGATGGGAGAGAGGGGAGTGGATGGGAGAGAGGAGAGTGGATGGGAGTGAGGGGAGTGGATGGGAGAGAGGGGAGTGGATGGGAGAGAGGGGAGTGAGGGGGAGTGGATGGGAGAGAGGGGAGTGGATGGGAGAGAGGGGAGAGAGGAGAGTGGATGGGAGAGAGGGGAGAGAGGGGAGTGGATGGGAGTGAGGGGAGTGGATGGGAGAGAGGGGAGTGGATGGGAGAGAGGGGAGTGGATGGGAGAGAGGGGAGTGAGGGGAGTGGATGGGAGAGAGGAGAGTGGATGGGAGAGAGGGGAGTGAGGGGAGTGGATGGGAGAGAGGGGAGTGGATGGGAGTGGATGGGAGAGAGGGGAGTGGATGGGATAGAGGGGAGTGGATGGGAGAGAGGAGAGTGGAGGGGAGTGAGGGGAGTGGATGGGAGAGAGGAGAGTGGATGGGAGTGAGGGGAGTGGATGGGAGAGAGGGGAGTGGATGGGAGAGAGGAGAGTGGATGGGAGAGAGGGGAGTGAGGGGAGTGGATGTGAGAGAGGGGAGTGGATGGGAGAGAGGGGAGTGGATGGGAGAGAGGGGAGTGGATGGGAGAGAGGAGAGTGGAGGGGAGTGAGGGGAGTGGATGGGAGAGAGGAGAGTGGATGGGAGAGAGGAGAGTGGATGGGAGAGAGGGGAGTGGATGGGAGTGGATTGGAGAGAGGAGAGTGGATGGGAGAGAGGGGAGTGGATGGGAGTGGATTGGAGAGAGGAGAGTGGATGGGAGAGAGGAGAGTGGATGGGAGAGAGGGGAGTGGATGGGAGTGGATGGGAGAGAGGGGAGTGGATGGGAGAGAGGAGAGTGGATGGGAGAGAGGAGAGTGGATGGGAGAGAGGGGAGTGGATGGGAGTGGATGGGAGAGAGGGGAGTGGATGGGAGAGAGGAGAGTGGATGGGAGAGAGGGGAGTGGATGGGAGTGGATGGGAGAGAGGGGAGTGGATGGGAGAGAGGAGAGTGGATGGGAGTGGATGGGAGAGAGGGGAGTGGATGGGAGAGAGGGGAGTGGATGGGAGAGAGGGGAGTGGGATGGGAGAGAGGGGAGTGGATGGGAGAGAGGGGAGTGGAGGGGAGTGGATGGGAGTGAGGGGAGTGGATGGGAGAGAGGGGAGTGGATGGGAGAGAGGGGAGTGAGGGGAGTGGATGGGAGAGAGGGGAGTGAGGGGAGTGGATGGGAGAGAGGGGAGTGGATGGGAGAGAGGGGAGTGAGGGGAGTGGATGGGAGAGAGGGGAGTGGATGGGAGAGAGGAGAGTGGATGGGAGAGAGGGGAGTGAGGGGAGTGGATGGGAGAGAGGGGAGTGGATGGGAGTGGATGTGAGAGAGGGGAGTGGATGGGAGAGAGGGGAGTGGATGGGAGAGAGGAGAGTGAGGGGAGTGGATGGGAGAGAGGGGAGTGGATGGGAGTGGATGTGAGAGAGGGGAGTGGATGGGAGAGAGGGGAGTGGATGGGAGTGAGGGGAGTGGATGGGAGAGAGGGGAGTGGATGGGAGAGAGGGGAGTGGATGGGAGAGAGGGGAGTGGATGGGAGAGAGGAGAGTGGATGGGAGAGAGGGGAGTGGATGGGAGAGAGGGGAGTGGATGGGAGAGAGGGGAGTGGATGGGAGAGAGGGGAGTGGATGGGAGTGGATGGGAGAGAGGGGAGTGGATGGGAGAGAGGGGAGTGGATGGGAGAGAGGAGAGTGGAGGGGAGTGAGGGGAGTGGATGGGAGAGAGGGAAGTGGATGGGAGAGAGGAGAGTGAGGGGAGTGGATGGGAGAGAGGGGAGTGGATGGGAGTGGATGTGAGAGAGGGGAGTGGATGGGAGAGAGGGGAGTGGATGGGAGAGAGGGGAGTGGATGGGAGGGAGGGGAGTGGATGGGAGAGAGGAGAGTGGATGGGAGTGGATGGGAGAGAGGGGAGTGGATGGGAGAGAGGGGAGTGGATGGGAGAGAGGAGAGTGGATGGGAGAGAGGGGAGTGGATGGGAGTGGATGGGAGAGAGGGGAGTGGATGGGAGAGGGGAGCGGTGGTGCAGCGGTTAGCGCTATGCTACGCTACGACCCCGGCCATCCGAGTTCGATTCCCGCTCACGGCCACCAACACCGGTGACGATTGTCTGAACCGGTCCCGGGCCTCCCCTAGGTCGACTCAGCCTCAAATGAGGACCTGGTGCGGTGTGTAGTAAACATCGCCACTAGGGAGACAAAGGCGGTCGGGCGTGGTGCTGGTCACCCACCCCCTCGTGTGCCGTGCCGGCCTTGACAGGTGCTCGCTAACAGCGCTTGCTTTGTTAAGGCTACATTGGGGATCTTTGTAGATGTGTGTGTGTATGTGTGTGTGTGTATGTGTGTGTGTATGTGTGTGTGTGTATGTGTGTGTGTATGTGTGTGTATGTATGTGTGTGTGTATGTGTGTGTGTATGTGTGTATGTATGTGTGTGTATGTGTGTGTATGTGTGTGTGTATGTGTGTGTATGTGTGTGTGTGTATGTGTGTGTGTGTATGTGTGTATGTATGTGTGTGTGTATGTGTGTATGTGTGTGTGTATGTGTCTGTGTGTATGTGTGTGTGTATGTGTGTGTGTATGTGTGTGTGTATGTGTGTGTGTATGTGTGTGTGTATGTGTGTGTGTGTATGTGTGTATGTGTGTGTATGTGTGTGTATGTGTGTGTATGTGTGTGTGTATGTGTGTGTGTGTATGTGTGTGTGTGTATGTGTGTCCGGCAAAACAACCCCCTACCTCCTCGCGGTGCCGGACGGGCAACTCTGTCGTGGACAGTGCTGTGGGGGGAGATCCAATTTTGATTGGCTCCTCCCCTCATGGCATATGTGTCCACCACAGGGGCTAAACGGGGGCTCTGGACGGGTGCGAGGGGCTGGTAACCCCTCCACCTTCAATTAATTACCACGAAACCACGAGTTAAACTGAAATATGTAACAAATAAGCTTGTGCCGGAGGCCCCGGGGGGCCAGGCGTCTATGACGTCTCCTGGCCAAACCCCAATTGGCGGAGCCAGGAGATTGAATACCTACCCTCGGGGCTACTCCAGAAACAACGAAAAGCCACTACGGGTGGCCACGTGGAATGTTCGAACGCTCACTGCAGAGGAGAGGCTGCCACTCCTCTGTCGGGAGCTGGACCGGTACCGCCTGGATCTATGCGGCATTCAGGAGGTCCGGTGGACCGGCTCTGGCTCCTGCCACCATGAGGGGTGGACAGTCCTCTACTCGGGGCAGCAGACTGCCAAACAACAGGGTGTGGGTCTTCTTTTGAACAAAAGAATGAAGGGGGCGTGGGAGCGTGGCGGTGAGGTGTGGGAAGCTGTAAGCCCCAGGCTACTTTGGGCTCGCCTTCCCATCAACCGGAGGCGAGGAATGGTGGTCGTGGTTACTTATGCCCCCACCGAAGATGAACATCCGAGAAGGAATGCAGGCAAAGCCGATGAGTCAGATGCCTTCCATGACCTCCTGTCACAGGTGCTGGCTAAAGTGGCCCCTCAGGATAGAGTCATCATGTTGGGTGACTTCAATGCCCGAGTTGGTCATGATACTGGCACCTGGTCTGGAGTGATTGGAGGGCATGGGCCCTATCAGCTCAATAACAACGGTAGGAGGCTGCTAGATTTTTGTGCAGCCCATGGGCTTGTAATTACCAACACGCTGTTCCGGCATCGGCGCATCCACACAACATCATGGATGCATGCCGGGTCCAAGCAAGAACATCTGCTGGACTACATAGTGACGGACCAGCGAATGCGAGCCTATGTCCTTGACACCAGGACCTACCGTGGAGCTGATCTGCCCTCTGACCATCGACTAGTCATCTGTAAGATGCGCCTGCCATTCTTCCACTCCGGTGGTGGGTGTACACCCAGGACCCCATTCCAACATAAAGTGGCCTGGTCTCAGTTATCTGATGAAAGTTGCAAGCGAGAATTTCATCATCGCTGGCGGCTGGGATTGGCATCGTCCCCGACTCCTCCTGATGTCGAGGGTAAATGGGCGAGGTTTAGGACTGTGACTCATGCAGCTGCAATGGCTGCTTTGGGCACGCGGTCCAGACCTCCCCAGAGACCCTGGCTGACAGAGGAGGTGTTCAGGATGGTTGAGAAAAAGCGACAGGCCCACTGTCATCGGCTACAGAATCCCACGTCAGAGAATGAGGAGGCTTACCGCAGCCTTCGCTCGGAGGTTCGGAGAGCCGTGAGGCGCTGCAAGGATGGGTGGTGGTCGCGGGTTGCTGAGGAGATGGAGTCTGCCTCAGTGGCCCGTGATCACAAA